GATCAACCAATATGGCTTCGGACAGCATACAACATGGGTGGTAGATAAACGATGACAACAGAGATGTCGATATCTTTGCATGTCAGAAACGAAACTCTTGCATGGTTTACAAGTCCGAGCGTCCAGCGGTGCGATGTGAACGCATGCACGCTGCATTGCATTGCAAGAGTATGTGACGGTCAATGACGATCTCGCCGGATTGCTTAACTACTTTAACTTTATCCCAACTTCACCTTTTTATGGGCCGCTTCCGGCAATGCATGGTAATGAACGAAAGCATGTGAGGTGCAGGAGCTGCTGGGGAGTCGCGGGTCAGTGCTTCATAGTCGTGTAATTGTTGACGCTTCTCAAGAAAACTGGCTGTATAAATGTGCTGAGCACAGGGTCTGCGCGTGCAAATCTAGCATTATTTCGTGCCAAGGTGTTGATCGTGGCAATGCAGGTGTATCCAAAACAGGATGTACAAGCTCAACTTCGCACACTCTCCCCCAAATATTAGGAGTCGGGTTTTCATCGTCACGAGTTGCATCCGGCACTTCCAGCGAAAGCCAGGCGATTTCGTTGCATTGTGTGAGCAAGTCAAGACAGAAGGCTTAGGAGGTTTATGCATGCAGCGTCAGCAGTGTCGGGTGGAGCAGGCGTCGGTGAAACATGTGCGTGGCAGTTTCTTTTGTGCACTGCAGTTCGTTCAACACCTATTCATATTGCCTGCCGTCCCGGTCCTGGGAAGGCCGGGCTGTTTGTGTGTGTGCGTGTGCACAACGCCCTGTTTCAGTGAAACTGCAAGTGATGGACATTGTAGAAGATTGATTGCAGCGGGCTGCTCCACCCACCGTCCGGCGGCAGCCAACCAAGAGCCTGATGGTGTATTGCTGGAAATCCCGTGGATGTTTTTCGACCCTGTGTGGCAGCAGGGGGTCCGCATTATCGATTGGGGTGTGCCTGTGGGCTCGGCGCAGCAGGGTTATGTGCACCAGTCACTAGTCGGTCTTTGGCAGCTGTTTTGGATCAGCCGGCGTGCTTCATGTGCAGAACGTCGCTTGAGGTGGTTATTTGAGTTGTTCAAGCCAGGCAGAAACGCATCATTGCGCAAAGCATCGCAAAGCAGGTAGACATCCACTCAAAGCGATGACCGCCCTTCGAACAGGTTTTGGCAAGTGCTGACCAGGCAGCCATGACCTGCTGTGGATGAGCTTCCCATGACATCGACGGGGAGGGCAAAGAATCGCGGTCTTGTGATTGCACGGGTAGCACCTATATTGCTGGCAGTCGACACGCCTTATCTTTGGACAGAGCCGATTCTCAGTGGCGACGACTGTACGCACCTGATGTCGTTAGCACGAGCGGAGGGAATGAAACCTTCGTTTGCAAAGGAGCGCGCAATGCAAAGTTTGCATCTTCGAACGCGGACCTTCGGCTTCCATCTCTTCGACTTTGATGCATCTGGAGATCTAAGTGGTCTGGAACTTGCGGCTGCAGCGAAGTCCCTGCTAAATGCTCCACTTTTTTCTGCGCAGGATGCGAGAGCCTGGAGTTTTGCCAGCACTGGCAAGCCAAACTTATCTCTTGCGTGGCTGGATGACGATGATAACCTGGCAACTCTGGCACTCCGCAGCAGGGAGGCAGCTGCCCGAATACTTGAACACCACCCAGAGCGACTGGCGAGGCACTCATTCCAAGCCTCGCTGCCATGGGATGCTGCAGACTTGCTAGCAGTGCTTGCATCTCAGCTAAAGATCCGATCGCAGCCCGTATTGGCCGATGGCTCCTGGAGCCACTTGGAACTGCAGGCTGAGCCACTCCAGGTAATTCGTTATACAAAAAATGGACACTACGCACCACATTCGGAGACCTCGGCTGAAGGGTGAGAATTCGCACTTTGTTGATTTACTGAGTGCAAACCGCTTGTTTGCATGCGGGAACCAGGTTGCTTTGCTGCGGCCTAATCCTGTGCCATTGCTTTGGGAACTCGAATCATCGACCGAGTGGAGGTAAGTCGCGCCATACGTCGACAAGTAGAGAGGGCCCCCTTAGAGTGGAAACGGGATGGCGGGATGGCAGTTAAGAGGGCGTGGGCTGATGCAAGAAACGATTATGATTATGCGTGTCCTACGGTAGCTCTGCCTTTACGACAATCGAAGCCTTCTTAGGTTAAGTCGTGCTGCCTGCGAATTGCAGCATGGTCGTGTACTACAGGTTTGAGACTTGAAGGTCTTCTCGGTTGAAATGTTCGAAAGAACAGGCCCAACCCAAGTGCTCGTAATCAGGAAGATCAAGAAGCGGAGGTAGTGAGCCGTGTTCAACAAGCTCATTTTGCTGAAGATTGCCGGGTTGGGTAGAGATCGAACAGAGGAGAGAACATTTGCAAAGGTGGCAAACTTCGCAATCTCAGGAAGCTGGTGCCTGATCTCCGTGCATTCATGCTGTTTTCCAGCTTCGAATCTCGTGGATCTCAAAGTAAAAATGTAGAATACATCCTTACCGACAAGATGTGGGAATTTTGTCAACTCAGCGTCAACTGTCGATTCTGGATGGTCCTGAGGGGGATGGGCTAGGCCAAGGCCTTTCGAAGCTCGAATCGTTAAGGACAGCGGTTGGCCAGGGCATCGCCGACTGTCTTTCTTGGTGTATCTCCAAGCTCCCATCAAAGGAGGCGAGACCTGCCTTCTGCAACTCGGCCAGCAGGGCAGAAGACGGAAAAAAGAGGGTAATCGATTAACTCGATGGTGTGGCTTCTGCAATGGCCGAGGCCGGCTGCCTGGAATTTCACCTTGCATCCGTGGGGAGCTGGACCGCTTGCAGCCGTCACTCGAGAGGTTCGTGTGACAAGAAAGCTGCATGAGGACGGTACCGCAGGCATTGCGCCGAACTTCTTCAAGCTGCCACCAGGCTGGAATGTCCCATGCGACTGCCGCAAGATAATCACTGCGTTTCTGCTTCTGCTGAGCAGAGCCTGCCGAGGTTGGTGCCGTTTGCCTTCGTCCCGTCCCTGGGCGACTGCTTGCATGGAGGAACGACTGGAATGCGGCCGCTTGGCTCACCTCACCACACCTTGGCGACTTCCGAAACCGTTTCGCGGATCCAAATCCATTGCGCCGATCTAACTCTTAAATGCTGGGTGCACATCTGGTCACACATTTGTCAACCTGCGCCCAAAGATCACAGTAAGTCGTCGCAGAAAGCCACAACGCAATGCCAAGAAATTTCACCCGCCGCACTGCTCGCATCCCAGCATTTAAAGACAACCAACAAAAGGAATGCACACATCTAGTTTAATTCAGTCAAGTTGTTCATGACATATCCCGGGGCAGGTTGGTGATGGTGGGCTGCTGGGACGAAATTGCGGTCAGAGGTTTGGGTTTGGGGCGTACGGCGCTTACTTAGGGTCGGGATTTGAAGTTCCAGGCTGAAGGCCTCGTTTGAGAACCTCGGGAGGGCCCGAAGTCAGGGGCCTGGAAGCCCGACAAGTGTTTTGAAACTCCCATGTAAGGCACGGAGGTTTGCTGGGGTCTAAGTTTTGTGTAGGGCGAGTAGGATTCAAGCAGGGTTTCAAGTTCATTGTCTGAAGAAACCTTCAGGTCTATGCAGAGCTAGGATCTATGCGCTCAGTTTGAATTAAAAAATCCTGAACTCTGTGTGTCGCCAGGCTTGCACCCGTGACTGCATTTTTTTGGGTATGACTTGTGTGTGTGTAGATTAAACACCTGCACATGATGAACAGTCCTTTGTTTTGCTTCCTTGTGCTTGCAGCAGGACCGAGCTAGTGCGGAGGGGCTCTCACCAACGAAGTTCCACTCCGAACTACATTGAAACGTACCTGCATGCATCCGCCCTGGGTCCTAGCAAGGGCAGCCGGCCGACGCACTCTCAGGTCTCGTGCCATTCCTTGTATGTGGCACGCCGGGGCAGAGCCCTGCCCCCAATGGATCATCATTTTCGCATGCCATTCCTGGTGTCTGGCATGCTTACGCACCAAAGTCCGTCGTCCATATCACATCCTGCTCTTCTGTTTCTTCATCGTCTTGTACTTGAATTTAATTTTGTCGTCGTCAGGTCCGGCCTGTCGCATGTCGCAGTTAGCTTCGCCAAGCATAAGTGTATACATATATATATATATATATATATATATAGAATGTTATATATATATATGCATGCGTGTGTGTGTGTGTGCACATATCGAACCAAGCCTGGTCTTGAGGAAAATCAGACGCTGTTGATGTAGGACCCGACAAGCCAGCAACGAAAAGTTCTGCAGCGGCTGAGTCGTACGCGTGACAAGAGGACGGTTCATTGGAAGTCCCTGGTGCGCACGTCGCCTGTCCGGTTGTGGAAGGCTTCTTGGCCGCATGGCTGGCTCTGATTGACTCGCAAGCGCATTTGGCATCTCGCTGTAGATGACCACCTCGATATCGAAATAAGGTGAGAAGTGGGTGGCAAGCGCATGGGCCAGCCAGACATGCGACCAAGGCACTGTGTGCCAGACACACGCCGGGCGTTGAGAGAAAGTGCTGTGCAAGCAAGGACAACCGTAGTCTAACACTCTGTGATGACAGCTTGGTGGTCCTGGTGGAAAGCTGAACATGGTTCAGCCGTGTAGGTGGCTGCAGCAATCGGAAATCTGCAACTTGCAATTTGACTGGACAGCCTTCGTAGATTTTCGTAGTCTCAAAGGCAACCAAGGCGTCACTTCACATGTCTTTCTTGAGTCGCACCTTGCACTACATCGCCCACGGCACTTAAGCAAAACCAGCCAGGTTCAATCGGGCCAGAACTGTCCATGGCTGGGAAATCTCTGGCATTTCTTAAGTTCTGTTCTTGGCAGTCGGCTCTCAGCGTCTAGGTTTCCGTTGAAGGCTTGCCATACCGGTTGGCTAATAGCCATGGACGGGCCATGGGCGTGACTAGACGAAGTCAACCAATGTATATTGCAGTTGGTGGCAGGTGACAGACTTGTGGTGAACCGCATAGGATCGCACAGGGGCGCTGAGAGCTCTCGCGCGATGCCTGGCGGGCCTGGCCTCACTGCCGCTGATCACATACTCTGGGCCCAGAGGACCCCTGCATTGTGAAGCGATGTAGACACAGTCGTACCAGCCACTTGCCCAGTCAGTCAGGATTCAGAAGGAGGAGATCAATGCGAAATCTCGTCCGGATGGCTTTTCTGTCCGAGCGGCAGTCAGCGTCCCGCGCTTACTTGGCAAGGATTGCAGGGTGGGCGGCAGTATTCGTGTTCGTCTTGTGCCATGTTAAGATGTAACATCTGGAGATATTTGGAGCCTTCGCATGTCCGAAACATGCACGACATCCCAGCAAGATCAATGGCAACATGGGCTGCTTACACTCGTCAAGTTTCGACCTCGGCATCTAACAGCTTCGCCGACCGTCAAGCAGCATTCCGAGCCGCAATAAATGGGAGATTCGCGTACACAGCAGTGCATGAAACGGCGTGTCTGACCCATGGCAATAAGTTCGCCTTCGGACGAAACAGATGCAAGCTCTGGGTCAAGTCGATTAAGCCTTCCCGCGTGCAGGCTCCAGCCTGATGGACTCGCGGTAACAGTGCCGAGCTGCGGCTCAATGACTGTAATTAATCTCGTGCTCCATTTTGACATGTCGTGTGATGACTGCCATCGCGGGGTCAGTCGCTGATGTTTTCTCTTCGCTCCGAAGGCTTTTGCACATCCCAGTGGGCGACTAGCACGGCAGCGCCGGCTGTAAATGATCAGTGCTGGAAGGACCATTAGTCAACTTATTAGGCGCGCACAGACTACCTACGCCGTTCGGGCTCGGAATTCTCTCCACATCCCAGTGTGGACACGCAGCTCCTAAGGGGTATGCATCATGAGAACCGTTGGCCAAACCAGAATGGAAAATATCTTCCCACGCAGCAGCCAGCAACCTGCTGCAACACAGGCATGAACAGGACCTGACATCCCAAACCCCATGGATTTACGCCATGGATTTACGCATGTCTACGCTACTGTAGTCAAACCTTCCGTCTTGAATGATTTGTCGGAGAATCCTAGTGCTCTGTCCCGCAGTCCCGCAGAAATGGCCTCAGTGCGGGTTCGAGGAGACGCCGACAGAACTGAGCGGGTGCCATGCGGGTGGAAGGAGCTTCGAGTTGAGACTCAGCCCAGACAGCCAATGCTCGGCAGCCGGATCCGTCTGAGCTGACAGGGCCGCGCTTGCTTCTGCATGGGTTCAAGCATGAACCTCCACACGTGGCGGCATGCCAACCTCAAACAGAAGGCTGAAGGGACAGCCGTGTTACATCGTTTTATCGGTCCTGCAGAATTGAACATGTTTTCGTTGGCCGTTGGTCAGTGTCGGATTCCTTACACATCAGGGACAGCCAGGTCAGGCGAAGCAAAGGGGCCTCTCTTCAGCAGAATCGGGGCATTGCGGCATGACCGGCAATAATTGGGTCATGGAGGAACAATACACGTATGTCGCGCTGAGATACGCTGATCCTTCTAATAAGGGTTGAACCTCTTGGTTCCACGCGGGAGCGGGTGGAGCATGTGCTTCTGAAAGCATGCCTTCAGCTTGAGACTTCAGATCCGACTGGATCAGGATGCCGAAAGAAGGGATCTGAAACTTCAGGAATCAAAGCTTCTTCGAAGGAAGCTACAGAGGGAAGAGATCCGTTTGTGTTACGCAGGTGCCAGGGGTACCTACCAAGTTCAAGCCCGGAGCTTGGAAGCTTTCAGCCGGCACTGCAATACCCTGCCGCATAGTCTTGAGCGCTGCAGGCCCGGCCACATGGATCCACGGGAGGCTTCAGGCAATGACAATGGATGGGTGCCATGCGAACCCAATTGAACCTGCCGGGAACTATGGGAAGTGCCACACTTTGGCGAAGAGGCTCTGGCTTCAACCCTGCTGCTGTAGGCCTGCGGATGCATCCTGTAGCTGCGGTGTTGCAGACCTTCGCATACGCACCCCGGCCAGGTTGGGACCCAGGTGGCACTATGACTGCAGAGTTCCGCCGGTGCATGAACCAACAAAGCGACGGGGTCCCAGACATGATGATAATACCGGCATGGGGGATGGGCTGTAGAAGTGAAAACCTGGGATGCTCCACTGATGTTCGTTGAGTTGGGCACTGCGGTTCTGAATGAACGGAGCCATTTGCTTGGATTGCGAGGACGCGAAGACGCTGCGTTAACGTTTGTAACTGTGGAGGGCTCATTGGCGGCTCACACAAAGCCGGGAAGCCCGGGTTGCAAATGGGGCAGGGGTGCGCGGGGGGTCAGGGGTAGGGATAGTTTGGGGGGGTGAGTGGGCCGGCGTTAACAAACTGTTTTTCTGGCATGTTTGGTGTTTGCAGCTAGCCGTCACGACAAAACAGCCCCCTTTCTGCTTAAACCATGCAGGTTTTGCGTGCAGGCTTGCTTTCAAGAACTCCTTAAACCCTCAAGCCCTAACCCCTACAGCAACAACAACAATAGCAACAATAGCAACAACAGCATCAGCAACACCAAGAAACATGACAAAAGATGCAGCATCAATAACACCAACCCAAAACCACGACGACAACGACAGCAACACCAACAACACACGCAGCAGCAGCAACAACAACAACAACAACACCAGCAGCAACAACAACAACGACGACGACGACACAAAACACAACGACAACAACCACAACAACAAGCACGACAATAACAAAAAAGACGACAACAACACAAAACAGCAGCAACAACAACAACAACGAAGAACAACAACAACCACAACAAGAAGAACACAATCAATAACGAGAACACCAACAACAGCACCAACAACAGCACCAAAAACCACCACCAACAACCACAACAACAGTAACAACAACAACAACCAACAACAACAACAACAACAACAGCAGCAGCAGCAGCAGCAACAACATGCAACAACCACGACTACGACGACAAGGAACGAAACCAAGGTAACGGGGTTTTTTTAAAAAACCTAGGGGAATTGGCACGAAATCCGTCCAAATGTAAGGATAGTGTTTTTCCTTAGGAAAAACCAAAGTAACGTACGTTTCGTAGGCACGAAATCCGTCCAAAGTGTCGGGAACATAGAGTTTTCCCAAGGAAAAAGCTCGAAAACACACAACAAGAAACAAAACAACACCCATGGCATACTGCGTGTTTCAGTAGTCTTTTCTATAATATTACCAACAGCATTCTTTACTTTTACAATATAGTTATATAGTATACTTGGCTCTCGGGTTGGGCAATCCAGATATTACACGATTCTCTGCAGCTGCACACTCCGCGGCACTCCGGGCGGGGATTCTTGGACTCTCTGGGATTGGATACTCCAGGGATTCTCCGGGGATCTCTGCATCCAACGAGGCTCAGGAATTCTCCTTGGGCACTCCAGGGGCGGAAATCGAAGAACACACCGAGGGTGGGGGACCAACGGGGGTAACAAAGTGTTGTCTGACGGGTGTTGCATGCTAGTGCTTTCAAGTCAGCCCTTCACGACAAAGAGCTGGGCAACAAGCCGGTTGTTGGACAGGAGTTGCATGTTTGACTTTTGCCATGAACCAAGCTCGGCAGTCGGCATTTCATGAGCTGTACCTTGCACATCTTGGGGAGTGGAGGCCGGGCCACGGGAGCGACATTTGTGGCTGGCACAGAAGAGCGGAAAGAGCAGCGCGTTGGGTTTCTTTTTTGAGACAGTTGGGAAGTTGTGACAGACCAAGGTTTCCGGAGACCTGCCAACAAGAGATTGGATGGATGCAGGCGACATGCGATGTGGGGCAGCAGTAGGGAATGTAGAGGCCGTGTTTGTTCTGTGATGTAATTTTTCCATACCTTGACATTTCATTGACATTGAGTGTTGCCAGGGCCAGTGCGGCAAGCCTGCACAAAGAAGTGCACCGGCAGGGAGCAAGTGCGGGGCAAATTTTCCGCCATATCGTGGCATTCTGCGACTCACACACACTTCTGACCATTGAGGCCAACGCGCTTGGGGGTGGGCTGGTTGATGAAGGACCCACATAGTTGAGCTTGCGTCGGTCGCAGAATTAGCGCATGCAGGACGGCCATGGTGGCCCAATCAACAAGCTTGCAGCAGAGCGGGCCAAGGATGTCCTAACAGTGACTTGGATCATGGGAGAGTGAAAGGTTCGACATGTTGTCCTGTCGCATCCTTCACTTGGCGATTCGACGTGTGTCTACGTCAAGTCCGGTACAGACCTGCATTGTAAAAGACCAGGGGTGATCAGTGCCTGTTTCAAACAATGCGAGGTCTTGGAGGCTTATCTCAAAACATTCTCGGGATGTGTTTGTCAGGGAGATGTTGCATCAGAATCATGTGTCCAGCCTCGCTCGGTTTGCGTGAGACGCGTGCGTGTACTTTTTACGCTGCCTGCAACCCACGGCATGCCGTTCTAGACCAGCAGAGGACCAGGGCTCAGAATCGCAGCCTTCGCGAATGCGGAAGTCCAAAGACGCTTGACGTCAACTGTGGTGGGAAGTCCCATGTTTACATACACTTTCAGCTCTGTTGACAGGATGGCAATGTGAGAGAAGAACTTGGAGTGCCGCCAGTCCCTCAGTGAAGCGTTGTAAATCTGAGGGCGGTTGCTTCAATTTCGTTCTGCCAAAGTGGCATCACGGCAGAACTGCTTTTTAACTTGTTGTTGTGTCCGTGAAAGCTTTAGGCATTTTTCTTAGAGTTCTCATCGTGGCCTCGCATTAGAGCGAGGCCTGAGAGCCCAGTTCAAGAACCATGCTTCTTGGAGTCGCATGTTGGGACGGAATTTGAATAAAATTCGGCTAAAGATGTCCATAGTTATAGATTCTGGATCTGTGAAACACGGCTGCCGGACTCAACATTTGCAGAAAGCACATGTCCTCGGTTCGAGTACCTTGATCAAGTTGCTGTGTTATATCTTAGAAGCCCAAGCCACGTGATATCTAAGAGGTCCCATTTGAGACACCATGGGCCACACACATTAAGCAGCACTCAGGCCGTATGCTACCAGCATCCCTTGTGCTGTGTGGGAGGTGCTGCTCTGAGTGATGGGCAACACATTGCGAGTAATATATGCACAAGTGCAGATGTCAGGACACTCCTCCTCCTCCTCCTCCCCGTCCCGTTCATCCCAGATCTCGAGGGACGCGAAGTCAGCTTGGCAGCTCAGACCGGTACGGTGGATGATTTTGTTGAAGAGTGCGCGCATGACATGGTTCAGCCCATGTCGCCCCATGCGACGTGAAGGACCAAGTCAAGTGAGACAAGCTACTGTCAGGAAACACAGCCACAGTTCTGGTCGGGAAATAGGAAGCCCAGTTAGTGACAACAACGAAAGAAAGCATGTTAACATCGGTTCTTAAGCCCGATCAGTCCCCGGCTCTTCTGAGACGTGGCTCGGGCGATGCAAAAGTTTAGGAGGGATTTGGGCTCTGTGTTGAGGTGGGGCCGGGCAATCAGTTGCCAATGAGATTGTGCCCGCCCCACCGTACCCTGCTCAGTCCTACTCCCCGCCGCTGACCGCAATGTTGCTATCATTTTGCGTTGCTCACCCTGCCAAAATGCCTGTCCGGTTAATTGTCTGCAGTTCAGGGCTCAGGCTTGGATTCAGCATGAGTAATTAATCACTGCTCGAATCATGCCCTCGCCCTGACGACCTCTACATGCCTACAATACAACGCGGAAAAGGCAATTGTCGTATCCGAACCCCACACCCCAATACACCCGACTCGGCTCCCTTTTTCGTGCATGGCTGCACATGCGTTGCTGTCTCTGAACCTCGAAGCTGCTTAGGATCTGGGTACCGGATTCGATAATCTGGGCAACCACAAATCATCAGACATCATCATCAACAGGAGCAAGAGTATTTGTTTCTGTCGATGCTTTTTGAGAAGAACGTCGACAGACGCAGTTGTGTTCTGCAAGTTTCTGCAGCAAGGGTGCCGTACATAAGGCTATAGAATTCTTTGCTCCGCTGTCCAGGACTCTGGCTTTCATGGTTCCCGATGCGTAATGGGAATTCCCGACCCATGGTTGCGTCGTGATTGAGCTCCGGCACTCAAGCCGGACTGCTTCTTGAGTCGGTGCTTTTCCCTCGGTACGGAAACCTGGCAGCTAACAGCTAGGCCACAGCTAGGCCGGCCAGGCAGCCAACCTCACAGCAAAAAAAGCCCAAGCCGCCTAAGCCATGTTGAGCAGACGCCTTTGCCTTTCTGAGTTCTCCACCGACCCCAAGAGTCATGGCCACAGAGATGCGCTTCCCCCAAGGTCTCGGATCTCGGCGACCCGCAAGCGACTGCAGCGAACTGGCTCCATGCCGACATCTCATATGGGCCATGCGCGATGCCAACAGCAACACGGAGTTTTCTGAGGCCAACGTTGCCAGATCCGTGCAGGCTGCGGTCCTGATTAGCTCTTGTGTGACATGTGCACGTCTTCATCGGTGCAGGTCGCAGTAGTTCGGTAATTGTCGGGATGAAGTCCCATTTAAATTGCTCCATGTCCTTCCTGCCAGCTTCGGCATTCGCGTGTGCTGACTAGTGGGTTGCTACTGCGGTTAAAGGAGTTTCCATCAGAGTTTTCCTTGATGGCATGGCTGGTCACGTCCTGAGTTCGGGGGCCGACTGCACGATCCCTTAAGGCTGACGCTGTCAGTGGCCACATTTCGTGGCGGAGAGCGCAATTCGTCGCCGTGTTGAGCAGTTCCGTGCTGAAGCATTAGTTAACGTTAAAGCCTTTCAATCAGCCCAATTCTTGCGTGGTTCTGTAACAGTGCGGTTGTGCCGTCAGGTCGTTCTGCAGTCTGAAGCGCCGCCGGCTCTGTGCTGTCTTACGGGCTCGACCACCATAACCAAAAGCAGACCCCGTGCTGCATGTGGCTTGCACCACCCAGCACCCCATTCACTGTTACCGGATGGTGGTCCAAGGAGTCCAAACTGAACTCAATGCAAGCACTTTCTCGTCACACACACACACGCACATATGCACACGCAGTTTCTCGGGTGCAGCACGAGAGATGCGACAGGCAATTTGCAGCCCAAGAGCATGCCTTGGGGCAGGCCATGGACCGAAGTCGTGCGAGGCTTACGTAGCGTCTGCATTTTTGCAGACTGTCCTGTGCATGACGAACCAGAAACACACAAGACTCACCTCATCATAGCTTCCCAGTAGCCCAGAATTGGCTATTGCCCAGCCCGCGCTTGCACGCCAGCTGTAACAGGTTGACATTCTTCCCTCACTTATTATCTGTGGCCGCAACGTAGGCCTCCATCCGTGACAAACAACGATTTGGAGAATCCTTCTTCTATGCTACATTGTGCGTTTATTTTCCAGTTTGCCTAGTCACTATGTCCAGGCCCTTCTGCCTGAACAATGAACCATCCTGATCCCTGAAAGGCCCCTTCGAACCCCGATAAACGTGAGGGGTTGCAACAAGTCAGGAGTTGTTTTCGAGGAGCCGTTCGGTGCTGGACGGACAAATCTTTGCAGCATGACTGGAGCAGCACCCACTCGAAGCCGCCCCAACCAAGTACAGCGTAGCATGCACATGAGAACTGCAGCAGTGCTTTGGCGAACGTTGAGTTTATCCTTCGGTGATTGCAGCTATTTCACCACAGCAACTTGCCTGTCGGCGCAGACCTGCTCGTAGTCTTGCAGGTCGCTAAAGCTTTTCCACTGGCAGTCGGATTTGTGGAATGTGTTGGTGCAGTCAGGCCACTTCCTCAACTGTCCGTCCAACAGGTGGTGCCGGGCTTTCTGATCCGTTGCTTCGGCAGTACAACCCTGGGACTGTGTTGCTCAGGTATAAGCCACTCAGCAACTCCGATGTCGCCAAGTTCGCCGACGCGTACACGAAGGACCACCCCAAACAGAGTAACAAAAGAACCCCTGTCACCACCAAGCTGAGTCTAGCTGCTCAAGCCTGGCAATAGACTCAACAGACGAAATGCCGGTAGAGCTGCAGATTCATCAGAAGATGCCAGGCATTTGGAGTCGGCCTGTATGCCAAAGGGTGACTGCGGCCAGCGCGCCATGTCTCACAATAGTCGATGGCGTCTGTCCTGTGCAACACAGGATTGACGCGCGTCTCAGTTGACTCAGCTACGCAACCGAGCAGCATCGCGACACAAACAAGCCCTCCGCCCCTGCCACGGCAACTCTAGGGGCTTGGTTCTACAAGGAACAGAGAGACAGAGAGAAACAGAGACGGACGGTGGAAGGTAGCATTGCTCACGGCTGCACGTGTGGAAGACGCATGTTGCTTTGCCCGAGCCTTCGAGCCATTTTTCCGACGTGTATGCATGGAGAAAGCATTTGACAAATTGCCGCTTGATTGCACTGATTGGCTTTTTTGGGACAGCATGACACATTTCCGATAGGCGGGTTTGTGCAGAACTCTGTACCTGGGTAGGGTTGCTGCGTGTTGTTGTTGCTTGGGCCATGACACAAGGTTCAGCAAATCGCTAGCAACAAACGGCTTGGAGGTGCGGTGGTGTGCCCAAACTGACCGAACACTGAAGCCGATCTAGGACCTGCCGGTGCTATCCGGTGCTAACATATTCTCAAATAAACTTTGTTTGCAACATAGTCTTGTGGGCTGGAGACTTCATATATATATATATATATATATTTATATTTATATTTATATTTATTTATTTATATTTTCGCAAAACAATAAGTAAGGCAGATGCTTTCGAGAGGTGGCGGGCGCGGGGGAATTGCAATTTCAGCGTTTTCAGTGCCAAAAACACTCGGATCGCGATTCCCCCCGCGTCTTTGCTGCTGAAACATACGCACACAAGGTGACTGCAAGGGCCGCGGGGGAGTTTCCATTTCAGCGTATGCAGGAAACGCTGAAATTGCAATTCCCCCGCGTCTGTCTGCGGGCCGGGGAATTGCGATATCAGCGTCTGGGGCATACACAGACATGTCGACTGCGAGGGGCGAGGTCATTGCAATACTGGAGGGCTGGAGGTCTGTTCTGCATTTACGAACTCTTGTAAAGACATTTCAGTCTGGCCGGCCCCATGATTGTGTTGTTTGCAACGATTTCTTGGTGACTGCGTCCACCGTACACTATTGCAGCACATGGGATACATGTATCATTCTGTTTACATATAGTACTGGTATACGAAGCCAAATTTGAGAAGACTGCCCTGATGGCGTTTGGGATGCTAGGAGTTCGACCGAGATGTGATACGAGCACGCTGCGTTTGGTGGAGATACGCAAGACGACCTTCATAGCATTGCACGGATATGTACGGTGGTTCAAGGTACGGCAAACTCAAGCATGAGGCCATCAAGCCGGCGCCTTGTGAAGCTTCTTTTGCCTTAGCAAGGGAAAGCTTGATTTCTGCTGCTGTTCCGTGCAGGATAAAGAGGCAGGCAAAGGCTGTTGCCGAGCTGGAGACGCCTTTTGACTCTTGGTCCTTGCTGCTATTCGACGTATTCGGTGCTTGCTTGGCGTCTATGCAGAATGAGACACACAAGATCTGAATCCAGCAGGGGTCTTGATCACGACCCGATGCGGGACTCGGGGCCCCTGTAAATGCCAGCTGCTGACCGCTTCGGTGCATTGCACCATGTTGCACCAATCAAGGTCAGCACCGTCAGAGTTTGTGACCCGTTTGTGTGGCCACCCAGCTCCGACCGAAGCCTTTGTGGCGACTTTGGCGAGGCCTCCTAACCTCCTGAAGCGAGCGCGCCTCCAACGGTCAGCTTTCAACGACGACACCGCGGCTCGGGGCCACACACCCTTGACTGTCAAGATCTGTTAAGAAAAGCTGCGGATTGGAGCTCGATCTTGTTTCACCTCGCCGGCCGCTGGCGAGGTGGGTTTATGAAACACATTTCATCCAACACGAGCTGCAAAAGAAAGAGTTTGGACAGGAGCCACACACGGGGTGATGCGCATTCGAATTTGGCCCAATCAGAGCTTCAAAGAGAGTGTCATAGGGCAAGTGAAGATGAACTACTTGCAATCCGAGATTCGAATATGAGCACCCGGGACAGACAGAGAGCGTTACGAAGCCTACAAAGACGAAATTTGCACACGAAGAGCTTCGAACATGAGCTTCAGGGACAGATCAGACTTCACAGTGCGCGCGAAAGAGAGAGGCGTCTTTCCGAGTACTTCAACGGACCAGGAGTTTCATGTTCACATATGTCCTCGAATTCCGAGATTGGGATGACGAGATCCAATGCAAGGAGCTTCAAAACGGAGCATCTCCCGGACAATAGACGTCAACAAGTTTTTTGCAGACGAATTTCTGACTAGTGTCAAAACCAAGCATCGGAGCTTCAGCACAGAAGAAAGCTTCAGGCAAGTCCCACCACAAGAAAAAGAGAGCAACCGCGTTGACCTGTGGACTCAGTCAGTTCGTCAGCTGGCTGTTTGTGAATTCCACAAGGAACGCAACCTGCGAGAGGCCAGGGCTTACGTTGCATTTTGCAGAGGCTTGCTTGCTTGGATTGCTTACTTGTAGTCTATACAAGCCTAAGAAGAACAGACACCGTCAACCCTAACGAACCTACACCCCAAACCCTTCCTATGCCCTTGTCGACTCGAAGCCTTACACCTTCTAATCCTAAACCCCAAACCAACACTCGAAAGCTTAAGCTAAACCCAAAACCCCCACAACCACCCATATATTCATATGTATACATATAGTGATATCTGGGCGCATGCACGAGTCTCGTGAGTTTGCGAGGCCACATCAAACAAAAGATGGGGGTGCCCCAACAGCGTCAGGAGCGCAGATTGAGCACTTCGTCCTGTTGGTGAAAGTGCCATTGTGCGGCCGAGCTCAGGTACTGCATGAGCTAGCAATCGATGCCCAGACATACAAGTTTCGACAGCGCTAGCCTCATGATTGCTCCGTCCGTTCATGATCATCAGTCCTGAGATGTGGGAAGTCATTGATTGGCTTCAGGAAAATCATGGCCCGCTCTTTTGAGAATTTGAATGGGAACCAAGACAAGCCGGAGCCCTAGTGAGCCCCCATCCATGTGCTGCAGCGGTTTTGTTCTGGTGGGCTCGTCCTGGCCAGGTGGCGTCGAATTTTAAAAACTTTGATCCTGCACTTGGCTCAAGAGCAGAGTCGTTGTGGCAGTGTTTCAAGACAGGAGAGTGATTGCTGCATATCTAAGGTTAGAGTATTTGGTCAAGAACGGCAGCGAAAGCATCGCCGATGAATTGTGGGAAGCTTTGACTTTCTTGCGCATGAAGTTAAGGATGTCGCAGCTTCAGACAGGCCTAAAGGCCACCCGGACCCAAACACCTTCACATGCAACGAGAAACAGGTCGAAGCAGTTGGTTTTTGCCCCACAGCCATTTGAGGCGCGGAGAGCAGTTGACCTTCCGCCGACTCGCCAACTTCCAGTGCAAGGATGAAGGCCAAGATCGAGGCCGGGCAGAGCCCCCGCAGATTTCAACGTTTGCGGACCTGCCCCGTCAGGTAGCGGCGTGCGAGAGAAGGCCTTGCTTCCTTGCTTCACCTGTGCGAAGATGGCTGTGATGTTGCGGATCCTTTGGTCCCTAGGCTGAAGCACTCGTCAAGCTTCTGAATGACAAGGCAACCGATTTGCAGCATGCTTCTGTCGACCAGGAACCTGCATCTTCTAACTGCATGTGGGTTCAGGACTTTCTGAAGCTCGAGCGCGAGCAGGCATGACAGACGTCGCGGTGATCTCGGAGCACTATAAGAAGTTGTAGATCCTGCTGCAGGCGAAGCTGCACCACACCAAATTGACGGGCGGTGGACCGACTGCTATTGTCGGCGGTCAGCCACCAAGCCACAAGACGAGGAAGTAGTCCATCTACACACAGTTGTTGGCTTCCGGACAGGGCGCGGCAGCCAATCGACGACTGCAACTTCATCTGTCAGTTCAGTCCTGGGTGATGCCCTGAACGAGCTTCAGACTTAATTTCTAAATCTGTTTGTCTGGGGCCTGCGAGCTGCATGAGCTTGCAGTGCCAATGCTATGGAAGCCATCGAGGCTCAGACCAGGAAATGATTCCCGCACATTGTCTTCTTCCCAAGCTGCGGAGCTGGAACGGCGCTTCAACAGGCTCGAGGCAAAATAGCTGTATTTCTGTATCTTCTGTTTGTGTGTTGCATGCGACTCCAGATCACGAAGCCGTTGTTTTCCGCACAGATTTGGGCTCATTGCCCGGATTTTCCCGCCCCGCACATTGGAGAATGGCACATTAGCGAGACAGGATTGGAAACGGCCTCAGGGTCCTCAGTCAGGCTCGCTTACGAATCACACCATTTCAACAAGGCTTTCAGTCGACGGCTTTTGATCGCCCATCACCTGCGTGAAGGGCGGAATATGCACAGTAACATAGACTTGACGCTATCTTAACCCATCCAGAGTCTTCGCAGCATTTGGGTTGCTCAACGGCGAGTTTGGTGCGCACGAGTCTTCTCCAAGCTTTTTCAGCCACTTTCAAGCTCTCGAGAGGGATACCCACCTGTCGGACATAACCAAAGGGAAAAAGCAGAATATTGCAGAATCAAGCCCTTTTTGTTCTTGCCAGACTTGCACTCCTGGTGGAAACATATGCCGGAGAATCCAGCGGTGCGATATGCCTCCTTGAAACCATTCCTGCGACATCATACTGGCAGCACCACAGACCTTCCTCCAGGCAGGGCAGGGGCCAGTTGAGATTCACGCCCAGTGCGCGAAGATTCATTCCAGCCCCAGTGAGTAAGATGATGACATTGGTGTTGGCAGTGGCCGCGAGCGAGCCCATTGGGTCATGGGACTCTGCGGAGCCGACGGGATCCTGCCTCGAGGGGTCGAACCTTCGGGCCTGGGGCTTGGGGGCTGTCTTATATGGTAATTTCTTGACAACCGCAGAAAGGGTCGAGCAGAAGCACTTAGACCTAGACTACTTCGACTTATTGAGTTATGAGGCCTCTGCCTTCGTGACCTTCTGAGAAGGAAAACGAAAATGGATTTGAGACTGACCCTTCACCCGAAACCACCGAACAGCCCTAAACAATAAGCCTGAGCCCCAAATGGCTTCTCTCGCTACTCCGGAACCCTAAACCTTACCCCCTAAGCCCGGAACCGAGTCTCTGCGTCGAACTGGGAGGTTCATGGGTAGTTGTAAGTGGGGTTTTAAGTCCCCTTATATATATATATATATTTATATGTTTAAATATGAGTATAGTTACCTTACTTATAACCCCACTAAAAGCTACCCATGATTGCACCACCATGTATGCCCAGAACGATGTATGCAAACCCCGAGAACGGAGCAACGACATGTTTCAAGCTGCAAGACCCCCCAGTCTGCTACTTCAACTATCGTGTCCGCACGAAGACTTTGGATTAACCGTGTACCTTGCACCTGCAGAGCAAGGTCAGTACCCTCCAGTCCGTTCTCGCGTGGCGCAGCCACGGAGCATCACGGAGCAGTACACGAGGAAGGCGAGAAGGAAAATCGACGCTGGCGTCACGCCCACTACAGATCTGTCTGGAGAGGCGCTGGTCTGTGGGACGTCTCAGATCAAAGGGGGTCACGGCAACAAGGGCGAGCAACGCACTGAACAGCGTTGGGCCGGGCAAACTTGTAGCTCTGCTTTGGGAAAGCCGGTGTCAGAAGGAAGACCATGTTAACCGGATGGATGGATGGCAGCTGTGGTTCCCTTCCGTCTTCGCAGCCCCTCCGAAAGCGTCATTGGAGCCCCAGCCGGAGTGCAGGCTCCTAGGTCCCTTGCACAAAACCATTCAAGCGCACCCGAGCCTCACCAGGCCCTTTCGGCAGTGCAGAGATGTTACGATACTTCTCAAGGCAGGGTACGTTTGGGTTGGTAAGACATGGTGCAAGTGGTGTGCACCAGGACGGTCATACACCGGAACACCCCACTCCTCGCTGCAAACGGAATCTCCCAACCGCGCGCTATGTGTCGCATTCACCTGCACATTGATTAGTTATTGGTCAAGGACATTTGTCCTATGATGCAAGCTGGTTCGAAGCAGACTTCAGAGATAGCATCCAGCCCCACTCTGCGCGAAGCTCTTCGAGCTAGCACTGTAATCGTAATCGGCCGCAAACCTCAAGCAAGACTCAGTAGAAGGTCAACCGCACGCACCACATGCTTGCAGGTTGTTTTCACACGAAGCACGGCCGTTTCCGCAACAGGCTGGAGATGCTTACAACGGTTAGACGTACAATGGTGCGTGACGAAAGCATCGCCGCTGCTCCTGCTCGTGATGTTGTTGTTCTCGGTGTTGGTGGTCGTGTTGCAGTGGTTGTTGTCGTGATCGTCGTCGTCGCGGTTGTTGTCGTTGTCGTTGCTGTTTTGTCGGTGTTGTTGTTGTCGGTGTTCCCCACATCATTGTGGGTTTTTTGTTTTCTTGTGGTGTGGCACATGCGTGTGAGTAGGAACAGTGTCGGCTCGAACGCCTTTTTCGTCTTCCCCTCGCCCCTTATGCCGAATTTAGAAATGTGACCTTGTACATGTTCCAATGTGAGCATGTTCTGTGCTGGGTGAATTCCCGCAAACCTCGTCTGACTTGTCGAGCACGAGTGACAAAAATATCGCCAACTTCATCCACGACCCCAACGACGATCAGTTGGTCGCCGCCGTGGGGGCACTGTCGACCATCGACTTCAATCGCCTGACCGCCACAGTGATTCGATGCCGCCATCCTCCAGCGGGAAATGCCCCCTACGCCACTGGCTTTGGCATCGTCCTTGCCGGTGCCTTCGGTGGATCAGGTGGTGCCGATCCAAGTGCCCGGCCACATGCTAGCTGGGGCAGTGCCCGCTGTCGACCCGCGTTTCCAGGGCAGGCGGCCGAGTCGCACCGTTCTCGACGACTATTTGGCGGGCTTTCCTGGGGCTGCCCTGCAGGCGCGGCCTGTCGGTCGGCCAAGGCCAAGACTACATCGATGCCGCCGCCGCCCGCTCTTCGTCTTCGAGGGGCAAGCAGAGTGAGGAGGAGGAGAACGCCAGACCTCTGCTGCCCTGGTCGGACCAGCGAAAAAGGAGTGCCAGCCGTCTTACCAAGCGTCGCAGCCGTTGCCACGCCCGCCTTTGGGCCCGTGCCCTTCTTGCACTTCCTGCTGGGGGGGGAAGCTTGAGCGGCGGGTTCGGCGTGTGCTCGTCCGGGTCGCGGGTGAGCGGGGCAGGCAAGCCCTTACTTAGTCGTCGGGGGGGGGGGGGGGGGGGCGAGGCAGAGACACCGTGAGGCGAGCCGCATGGCCATGAAGTTTTATTAGGAGACCAAGAAAGGCGAGAAGATTGGTGTTGCTTGCGGGCGCGGAGAGACGTACACGTACGTACCTCTCGACGAAGATCCAGGCCCACTTGATGGCGTCCAGCACATGGCGATGACTGACTTACAGTAGGCTGAACCTTGAAATTGTTCAAGGGCACTACTGGGGAACCTAGGTACCACCTCTGAGGAGTTCACCGTCGACTCCAGAAACTGCAAGGCCTTCTTGATCGTCGCTGGGCGCGCCGAGAAGTCCCGCCTGGGAAAGGGGTTTAGCGGTGCGGATACCAGAGCCCGCCATCGCATGCTCGGGAACGGCTGGCATTGGGAGTGCTGGCCGGCGGCAGGCTTGTCGCATCCGCCGTCCTGCCTTGGTGTGGCTCTCCTCTACCTGGCGGGCGGTTGGCTGGGACTTCACCACGCTTTCGTAACGCTTGTTTTGCAGTCTGGTGCTGCTCCTCCTCCTCCTGCTTCTCCTGCACACAGAGCACACACACCCACACACAGAGACAGCGAGACGCTCATACAGCACACGCACATACACTGACACTGCTTTGGAAGCCTCTTCTCTGCGGGATGCTGCTCGGGTTTTGGGGAAACCCAGGGCGCAGTCGTTGTCGTTCTTGTTGCCGCTGCTGTCGTTGCCGTTGGAATGCTCTTGTTCCCCGCATATGTTTTTCATTGTATTGCACTCAGATAACTTACACACTCAAGCCGTGGCGATGCTACCTTTTGTCGTCCCCCGGCACTACACGCTACGTGTTTCGCCCACTTGGGGCTCCTCAGGCTGTGCCTCCAGACTAGAGGGCTTAGAAGACATCGCGCATCAAGCTACAATCAGGAGCATCAAAACGCAAACCCCAGACCAGTCGTAGTGCATAGGTTTTAATAAACCTATGCATTTTTTTACAACACCCACGCTATTGTTGTTTGCAAGATAAGTTGCAGGCGGGAGGCTGATTGAATTCAGGCTGGTGTTTGCAATGTGTGGAAAATGAGCAGACATGAGGCTGTGTGTGTGGTCATGATGTGTCCAAGACAGGGTCCTGCGTTTTTGTTCGAAGCTTTGACAGGTTAAGACGAAGCGTCTTAGTTAGCAAATGATGGTGCGCACTGACAGCATGCGTCAAATCCAGGCTAAAAGAAGAGCAGCTCGCTGAAAGAGTTGCACGAGAGCGCAACTTCAAGACTGAGGACTTGGCGAGTGCAGCCGTGCATGCAGCGCAGGTTTTCTCACAGCCCAAAAGCGGAAGCACGACCGTTGTCAGGGGCGTGCTCCACCCCAAGATGCAGCCGAGCGCGTGGAGGCACAATCTGCGATGTAGTATACTTATGACCTGGTGTTTCCATATTTTTCACTTATACAGAGGAGAGCAGCAGACAGCCAACCAAGGGTCCGAAGACTTGGTAAGCGAGCAGCTGGCCGGTAAGGCGCTTGTTAGCAAGTGATGCGCTACCTGATACGAGAGTGCATCGATATCGTATCGTGAGCTTGTAAGGAGGGAAGTCGACACTGTGCCCAAGCCGACTGTATGTTCGGTTGAAGTTGAAGCCAGCAGCTCATTAGTTGGGATGGTAGAGCAGTCTAAGAGAGAACCGAAGTCAGGACAAAACCGAATAGAAGAGAAAGAGTTCATCCGCAAGATAGACCTGAGCAACAGACTAGACCCATGATAGTATCTACCACCCCGACTGTAGTGTAGCAACAACCTGTCACGGTGGGTCGATACAAATCCGCGTTTTCCAGCTTCAGCCTGTGACTCACAAAAAGGTGCTTCAACGTTTGAAAGTTGCAAGATGACCTCCCTTCAGCTGGAATGCGATGGAAGGGCTAGCTAGCCCCATTAAACGCGTACCCGGAAAGCGCCCGGCCAAAACAGCAATTCATCACAATAGAAACAGAGCAAGGGAAACACGATGCAGCAATAAAGGAGCCATAAGCAGACATCACCTATGCGGCTTGTTTCGGCGCAATAATTGGAGTGTTAAAAGCAGCCACTGCCACCGAAGAGGCCTGCAGACAACCGGAGGTAGGGACTTCGGTTGGACAGGACAGAAATCCCCTGCGGCGGAGACGAATGAGATACCCGTAGCAAAACCTTACGTATTGAAAGCACAAAATGTGTTGTGTCATGTTCGGGCCATCTCGCCTTATGTATGTGACACCAGAATGCCGCCTGCCTCTTCCAGAAAGACGAGCATTTGCCACGACACAATCCATGCTGAGATAGTTGCGCAAGCTGTCAGATCGAAGGCAAAGCGCCCGAAGCCATGTTGCAATCAGCTCCTTCAAGTTGAGCTGTGGCAAGCCCGGACCTTCGCCAGACAGTCGCCGGAACTTGAAGCTGCCAGGGCGGCGACGGGCGGCCACGAGAAGATCGTTATGGTCTGTTCGACCCCAGCTTCGCCCCACAGGACCAGAGCAACTTTGTCGTTTCGAGCACAGACATGTGTAGCTCTGCGTCCCTCTTTCTTAGTGTGTCTGCTCACAAGGATTGTGACTCCGATTCTGACGCAAGCAGTGCACCTACGAGACTCAGAGCTCCAAGCAGAATGTTGTCCCCTACAAGTGCGGGCCAGGTCCGTCAAGACCCACAAGTGCAAAGGCACATTGGCCAGTTAGGAACGCAGGTCGAAGTTCCGCCCGAAAGACGTTGGTTGCCAGGCCCAAACAGGCGTAGACTTGTTGGACATGGATGCGGATGATGCGAGGCTTGATGGCATTCCCATTTTTGTTGGTCACGACGAACCGATCTGATCTTCCCTCGACTTGCTTGCGGAGCTTCTGTGCCGCAGGCAACTGAGCGAGGGGCCTCCACGATCCGCCCCTGCACAGAATGCCCGTATCCCAGAGATTCCCAGAGTGCAACGCGAGAAAGATGCATTTGTACGTCGGCCTCCCGCTTCGAGAACTTGCCAGGACTTCGATTCTGGGGCCCAAGAGGCTCGAGATGTCGAGGCGAAAACCGGTAAAGCCCACGTTCAATAAAGTTGTGCGGACGGGGTTCTCGGCAGTGTCAAACGACATTTGTTGGCTTCTCGTCGATGCGGAGTGCTGCTGTGCCACGGATTGCGGGCTTGTCTAACAGATCCGACAACATGTAAGTACAATCACAGCTGGAGCGCGCGATTGCTGCATGGCAGCCCAGAGTCTCCTTCGGCAGTTCTTGATAGATCGTCTTGTACATGGCAGCCGGGAGTTTCAGCTCATCACAATTCCCCCTGTCGGATGCTGTCGGTCTTCCACCACGTCGGCAGAGTGTAGAAATGGATCATCCCCTCACTCACGATTCTAGTCGTTGTAATGTCAATCGGTTCCTACTCCTTCTGGCCCTCAGGACTGGACAAATTTCTGCACACCGTTTGCTGGGCAGACATATTGAACCTGGGCAAAAATCTAATGTTCCGACGGACCTGGATGACAGACTAGAGCTGCTAGCTGATTGGGTAAGGCCATTGAGGCCCTCACAGCTCGTGGCTGGACTCGGCCGGATTCGGTTTGTGCGTGAGGCAATGAAGGATTCGCGGCGCTAGATTCACGCACAGTGGCATACAGATTGGAAACTAAAACTTAAATTTGGGAGTTTCTCTGCTTTCTTTCCTTCTCCCTTCTTTCGTGGCATTGTCAACAGATGGCTGACTTGTAGGGCATGCTCATGCAGCCAACGAGGCGTTCGTTAAGAGACTCACCCGAGTATCTCCATGTCATTTGGCTAACGCCTTCCGGCGCTGAGTTTCTGAACAAGCTCCGGCTGCAGAACACAGAGTGGACGTGGCCAGTCTGATGGACCGCTTGGCAGATTTAAGGCTTATTGTCAAGCTGCACACATGGAAACGAATTGCGCAGCAGAACCTTCAGGCAATACTCGTACAGTACTCTAGAGTTTCTGCTGCTAGACCTTCTGGATGCAACGGCAGAGAGAGCGAGAGAGAGACGTTCTCAACTCAAGCGAAAACGAGTGTCGGAGCGTAGCCTAGTCTAATGCATGTAAGACATGCAACCCTTCAACAGACGGGCGTTCCCTACGGGGTTCGCCCTCAAGCTCGGTGAAAGAAAGAGTTTCTCACAAGCATGACCCAATTCAAGTTGTCTCATGTGGTGGGTTACAATCCAATTGCACATATCTTGACTCGTACCATGTGTGACATGCCTGCGCCGGACTCGAACTAGTCCTGGCCCGGACATGTTCTTGGGCAGGTGCGGCATGCGTAGCTCATCCAACTGACTGATGGATTGATCGCTAGAGGTTCCTTCTGTACAGGGAGTTACCGGTTCTTGGTCTTGGGATCGCCATGTCGGTTTTGAGTTTCCGGCATTGGGTGTTTACTCCGTAAAAAGGTCGCAAAACAAAGACGGGGCATTTGGCACAGGCAGACTACTTGCTGTAGCCTGGGGGGAGGGGACTCCGAAGGCACTGGGCTGTGCGTCTCCTCGCGCCCGGACAGGATCTCACTAGTTCCACGTCAACACCTTCTACATCACCGTTGGATCCAAGCCGCTTGGCTCAGACCTTGAGACCATGTTAGCAGGGCCGCGGTGAAGCTGTCCACTCCGCGCTAATTTGATTGCAGAGCATTGCAACAGACCTGTCTCTCCAGCAACTTGTCGAGCCCGCTCGGCCGATTCTAGCCGGACTCGAACACGCTTCGCGCATCCATCCCGACGACTCCTGATTGGTCCTGCAAGCAGCCATGGATCCAGTAGGAAAGCCAATCCTGAACTCGTGCGCTCTCTGATTTGCTCTGGAGGGGGGTGGCCATGGTTGCAAGATACGTGTGATCGTCCTCGAAGCCGAGGTTTTCATGCACAAAGAGGTGCCGAACAAGATCCTTTTGAAGGCATGGAGTTCAAGTCAGCTGTAGCCAGCCAGGGACCTACCACTTCCGTGCACGAGTGAACGCATGTCCCTGCCTTGGGTGTCCACACTATCAACTGCTACGAACGATTGCCAGTGGCACGAACTGTTCTTCTAATGGTGCCAGACTGCAGATGCACCTGCTGAGGCTTTGGACAAAGTGACAAGGACGCTACACCAGGCCAACGTCCAGCGTGGCCATGCCGCACATAGCGAAGCATGAAGTGCCAGATACCATCGGAAGACGGGCTAAAGCTCAGTTGACATGCTTGAAAGTGCTTTCATTGTAACACCCAACGTACTTGCGCAACGAGCAGTGTGACGAAGTAATGTCATTCTGCAAGCAGGATTTCTGACAAGTGATGTTAAGGAACCCGTTCTCGGAAATGCTACTGCAAGAAGACCCCGAAGTGCATTCAAGCCGCATTTCCCCAAAACCGGGCCCATCAGGCCCCGAACCTGAACCCGCTTTCCAACGCATCGCCTCTCCTTTTCTTCTGGAATCCCTCTGTCTCTCGGCCTCGAGGCCGTTTCAAAGGCGATGGCCGTCGTCTGCTTTGCCTGAAAACGTGTGTAGTTTGTCAAATCATGTAGTAAGTAAGTTTCAACTGCGAGGCAAGCTAAGATAGCTGCCTGCAATTGCTTGCGATTTCGTGCCCTTGCATTGCGAGACTCTTGATGACGACACGGCACAGAGAGAGGGAGAGAATTGCTTGCAGAGCTCATGCAAGGATGGGGTACGCAAATGGAGACTCCAGCGTGCCCATATTCAAAGGTGAGCCTGCAGGACTAGGTTTGTTTTGCTTCATGTTCAAGCCTGCTGGCAGCTGCCTGGGTGCCGTATGGTCCGCCAAAATTCCGAGACCGCCATATCCTCAAACATAAAAATGCTTCGACATTTTAGGCACCAGCTGTTAACGTTCTCCCAGCGCGACGTTCTGTCACAAAGCATGGTGAGAACTGCACCAGTCAGGACAAGCACCTCTGTCCGGGACGTTTCTGGATGGCAGCTTGGTTGAGGGAGGCGAGGAAACAGCATGTGATGTGGGAGTGCGTGGATCGAGCCCACAAAAATTCCCAGGGGACTGGTGTGCTTCAAAAACTTAACAGAATGAAAATGTAAGCATATGTGTCTTCCACCTTGAAGCTCGACAGCATCAACACCAGACCTCCCTCAGTCTGGACCTATACGACTCCGCCAGATTATGTTCTGCCTACCGCATGCCATCCTTCAGGATAACATGCTAAGTCTGCAGTTGACCGAGTCTTGAGGGCATCATCGTGATTCCATTGCGACTTGCCGCCATAGCATGTTTCTGCGCGGCATCTAAGGCATGGGAGTTGCTGTCGACATGTTGAGTTTCGACGAGGCATCTTCGAAGCCACTGCACACGCACACTTAACAGCCAGCGGCCGGACTCTTCAACAGTGGCTTGCTGCCGTACTGAAATTGCTGAATGCAGGACATGCCCGGCAAGAATGTGAAAGAGCAGAAGCCTTTAGATCCCTTGGCAAGCCTGGCTGCTTTGCTGCATCCAACAAACGGTCGAAGTCGCTTCAACTTGCACGTTACGGCATCTCAGGATGTGTTGCAAGGCGGCCAACAACCACGCTGATCGACATCACTCGGCGCAGACAGATGCGAACAAGACAGATTCTGTTTGTTGAGTGCTTGGGTCAGTTCGTAGGAAAAGCTCGGACCTCGGGCGACCTGATAGCCATAATTTGTTGAGGATGGGAGTCAACATGGGAGTCAGGCCGCTCCGACCGCGTAGCCAGGCAGGTCTCTTATTCGGTGCCGTATCCATTGTCGAGCGTGTTAGCAGATGAGTGGGAAGTCGAGCTGTCAAGAATCGGCGTCTGCTGTCACCCAGTTTAGACGGCAAGAGGCTTCTGGTATGACATCAACCTTGTATCATCGCTGAAACCACAAGGCTTTGACGGCATGCAGCAGCCACAGGGTTCGGCTCAATTGCCCAGAGCGGCATCGGAGTCCTCCGTGCAGCCTCGACACCAGACGTGGATTCCGAAACCTGCCACCATTTTTGATCTGAGAACAGTCGGTTGTCATGAATACCTATCTGCGAGTGTGCCGAAGCTCGCTGCGAAATACAGCTAGATTGCCCGAGAATGCCAAGGTCACTGCCTTGAACTCATGGCGGACAAGACGCTGAGTTGCAAAGTGTCACGGGTATTGGGGATGCAGGGGGCCCCCATGTGTCATGCAGCGGTTATGGGTTTAGGTTTCAACGTGAATCCGTTGAAGTCTTTTCAAGGCCACGGCTGCACATGAGAAAATATCCGCATGATGAATATTGCTGCCTGTAAGGCCATCGTCATAGCTAGGCCGCTACGCTTCCTTGTGCTCCACGGTCCTACCATCGACAGTGCTTATCCATCGCAGGCAATGATCAGGTACCTGTGACGAGGACAACTTCAAATATCGGCATGGTAAAGACGATAGTTATTTCGTTCTCAGAAACGACAGGACGAGGAGCATGAGATTTGTGGAGCTGCAAGCCGCCCAACAGTTCTTGTTAACTGGAGCTTTCACTAGCACCCTTGCGGTCCATACGACTGTTTCAGTCAGGACCAAGCAGGTGAGTGGAGAACTTTCCGGCAATGCCGCGGCATCAAGTTCCGCAAGGTCTTCGACAGCGCCGTTAATGTATTGAGGACGTTTGCAAGTTTTTTTACAGTTGCCACCCAGGGTCAGCAGTCAAATCTGGTGATCGGTCATATCGGTCGGTCTACCTATGGCTAAATATTCCGTGGATGGTGGCCAGGGGTCTCAAATGAACTTCATGCATGTGCTCTTTCCTGCGTGTTCTTCCATCATACAGAGTTGCTCTCTTCTGAGAAAGTTGGCATGCTCATCACAAGATGAGCACGAAAGTTGGGTGTCCCGCACGAATTGCGGGTGGCTGGAAGGCTCTACTTCGATGAATTCAACTGCGCTCACCTGGCACCTTGGCCGGAATGGGTTGCGAACGGCGGCGCCAAGGTTTCAAAATGGCAAACACAAACGCAGGGTGCCGGAGACATGTTCAAGCACAGTTTCGAAGATTGAATGATTGGTTCCGCTCAGTTGTAAACAGAAGACTTTCAGTTTGTGTTCTGGATGCAACGCATGACGGCACCGTCGGCATTCGGTGCCAAGGGAGGTTGGGAAGAACCAGCAGTCGTGGAGCTATGCAGGCGAGGTCTAGATTGAGCAGAGCTGGAGTCTACACACATGCCACTGCTCCTGGCGGGCCGGCTACGCTCATGGGCCGGTCTTATGTGGTGGAGAGAAACTTGTTGCGGGCGGGCCATCTGGGTGCAGCGGCATCGAGAGAGAGAGAGAGAAGAGAGAGAGAGAGAGAGAGAGTAGCCATTTTGGCTCAAGCCGCGAGTGCTCAAGGTGCCGCCCCGTGACCAGGCATCTCAACCACAGTAGAAGGGGGCGACCCTGACAGGTGCGACATCCCGGCCTAGGGTTGCTAAGGTCGGACGGCGCCGCCATACAAGCACACCTACCAGGTGCAGAACTATGCGTCTCCAAGCTCACCGCTCTACCGCGCGACCTCGTGGGGTTCGGTGCTGGACCGGCGCTGAGGCGAGCGGGGGAGAGTGACGCCAGCAACCTGTACGGCCTCGGCGAGCCTACTCAAGCCCGCCTTCCACAAGCCGACCCACCGGGGGGAGTACCTCGAACGCCGCCTACCTGAACCCAAAGTTCGTGACTTGGTCCCGACCGTGAATAATATCCATGACTACGCCTATGGAAGCGGAAAGCTCTTGGGGAACCAAGAAGCGAGGCGCACCAGAAGGAGGGGAAGGCCTCAGCCTAGATGCCATCCGAGAGGTCATCAAAGGAGAGCTCTCCCTCAACACCATCAACCTCCAGCAGGAGATCTCCCAGTCCGTGAACAAACGCATGGACACAGTGGAAGAGAAGGTGGGGAAGCAGTTGGAACGCACCCTGGAAAAGCTAGCCGCCATGACGGACACACAAGCAGAGCAAAGCCGGGTCATTGCAGCAGTCCAGGCCGAACAGAAGGAGACAGGAGGGAGGCTGACGCAGCTCGAGCAAAAGGTGCACCAGTTGCAACTGCATGGGGGCAGCTCCACGGCTGACACGGAAGGTGGCATGAAATGGCCACCCCCTCGTAAAGGTACTGTTGAGGGGGGGTTACTCTGAGTGGTACCTATTTCCGGTGTTTATTTTGGGAGAGTGGGGGGGTGCCGATAAAAATAGGTACCGGTGCCTACTGGGACAGTGGGAGTCGTTGAGCTGTCGTCGCAAATCCAACCCATCGTAACTAGTCTTATCCATGTGGAAAAAGTCCTCCGAGTACACCCCGACCCCCCTTTCCTCAAGCCACCGTCGTAATAGGTACCGGTACCTATTTCCGACCCCCCCTCTCGCTCCCCCACACCCCCCCCCCGCGAGGGGGTGGCCATGGCATGAAACAACCCGCCCTCATATTGGGGGGATGGCCGGACGACTCACCGGCCACAGAGACATTGGAGAAGGCCAAAGACATGATGAATCAGTTGCGGGTGGACCTGGACATGGAAGCAGCCTTTTGCCCAGGGGTCCGCAGAGGATACGTCATCATCCCCTACAAGGCCAGACCCAACGAAACTGGGGGAGAGCTGCGCGACAGACTGCAGCAAGCCCTGCGCCGCGTGAGAACAGCCAACATTGCCATGGGCCGCAAGGACGACGGGGGGACAAAATACTTATGGATGCAAATGTCCCAATCACCCGAACGCCGCCGGCGAGCACACCTCGCTGGGAAGGTGAAGCGCCTCATACTCTCAGCCGCGGGGGGACCAGTCCATGGCCTTGAAGTTGAGTGGCCCACTGGAACCGTCTGGTGGAATGCCACGACTTGGAGGCCCTTTTGACTTAGTAAGTAGGGTTAGTAAGGTGGGTTATGGGGAATATAAGAGGGTTTCTAGGGGATACTAAGTAGACTTACTAAGTCAACAGGGCCTCCAAGGAGAGTGTGTACAGCCACCACAACGCTGGGAGCCCATGCCGAACACGCGGGGGCTGAATGGGTCGATCTCCGAGCAATCGCTGCAGGACTGGGGCAGCCGATCGCTTCAGTGCAGGACGCGTGGGGTGAGCTGAAACAAGCTCTTCGCTGAGGAGAAGAACCCACTGGCAGCACAGAAGGCAGCGATGGGGAAGACCCGTCGCCAGAGCCACAGAGCACTTTTGTTCCCCTCAAGGGGGTGGACTGTTTTCACCTGGCAACCTGGAACGTGGGCGGCCTTACTGCTGATGGCACGCTTGACCTGCTGCGCACGTTCGGGGGAGCGAAACACCTTTGCATGTTGCACGTGATCATGTTGCAGGAGATCATCACCAATGCCGGTAAGTTCTTTAAAGAGAAGTGGGGATGGAAAATGGTTTATGGGAAGCAAGAAGGAGAGTTCAGAGGGGAAGCCATCGCGTTCAGAACAGAAGTGGCGTCGCACACTCAGTCGGCGGTTACCTCAGGAGCGGTGAGCACAGTTTTGCGGTTGCACACTAGCGAGAAGTGGGGGTTGCTGAGTGGACACATTCCCCACCACGCCACCATCCCTGAAGTTGACACCATGTTGCACCACTGGGGGGAACAGCCTGCCTTGAAAACACCCAAGGCAGCAATAGGGATGGATGCCAACGAGCAGTTCACGGAGAGCAGAATCCAACCCGCCACAACGCACGCACACACAGGCAGAGGGGAAACCGTACTCAACTGGGGTACGCACCACAACTTCCGACTACCACCACAAGCCATGCACGCCCCCAGCTACTACCCCTACAACACACGCCACGACCCCAGCCGATTGGACTACTTCATGATCCGCCGAGGCTACTGCCTCCAAGCCGGACCAATCCCAGCCAGAGACATGGCCAGGTCTGACCACGAGCCAGTCCTTGCCCAACTCCGCGCCAAAGTGCGGAAACTGGCCAAGACCACCCGCCAAAGGCGGGGTGCGCCACCTCCACCCGCCACCCGGCACCAGCATTCCGGACTACCTGGACCAACAAGCAGCCACAGCACCAGCAGACCGTCATCACCAGATTGCCATGGTGTGCCAAGCGATCACTAAGCCAGGCAGGGGGGATGCCCAACCCTTTTGCGAAAGCAGCGCGCTCCGCGCCCTCAGGCGCCACGCACAGCAGTCACGGCCGGGAGCAGAACGCAGAGCAGCATGGAAGGCCGTCCAAAAACAACTCAAGGGGAGAGGAAGCAGTACCTCAAGCAGCTGGTGGAACTGGCAAGCGCCAAGGAATGGCCAGCATACCGCGAGCACCAACGGCACACCAGCAAAGGAGATTGGATAGCCCTGCTGCTGGACGCACACGACTGGCAGGCAGCACTCCTGGACCATTTCTCCAGCATCTTCACCAAAGCTGACGGGGGAGCCAAGGCAGCAGCATTCAAACGAATGCACCACCAGCTCACCACTGCTTGCAAGCAGACAGCATGGCGACCCTTCACCCGACAAGAACTCCTTGTCGTGAGCAGCAGGTGGGGGAAGCACAAAAGCACAGGGGTCGACAACATCGCCCACGAAGCGCTGCAGCTGCTCATCATCCTGCACCCAATCCGGGGGGAAAGAGTACTCGCAATGCTCAACGAGGCGCTCTACACCGGCAAGCTGCCGGCCCTGGTAGAGCGGGGGCTTACCATTCTCCTCCCAAAGGGGGGGGTGGAGTGACACCAGGCCAATAACACTCAGCAGCGCTCAAAACCATCGCACAGCTGCTTCTCCTCCGGGGGACCCCCTGCCTACAGCACCTGAACGCGTACCAATGGGCGGCACCCCGCAGACAAGGAGTCGAACTGATTCTAGTGCTACGGAAAATCGCCAGAATGGGGGCCGATTGGGGGGGGGCGACTTCTGGATCATCAAACTCGACCTACAAAACGCACAAGACAGTTTGGCCGAGCTTGTTGCCACCGAGGTGGGGGGAACCATGCCATGGGAGGCACGACTGTGGCTGTCATTGCTTGACGCCCGACGCAGAGAAGTGGAGGTGGACCAAACCAACGGGGCACGCCAAGGCAGCCCCGACTCCCCAGTGTTGTTTTTGCGTGTGTGGGAAATGGTGGAGCGCACGCTGTCCAGCACCCAGGCCGAACCAAGGGAGGGGACCGTGCCCTTCCTGCCTCCGCCCCCACCATGGAGGCTCCTTCATGGATGACACATACCTATGGGGGGAAAACCCAACCACCTGGAACGCCTCTTACTCCAACACGGCCTGCGGATCAACCCCAAGAAGACGCACATCATCAGCAACAACCCCAAAAGCACAGTTACATTCACAGTCGGGGGGGAAACGATTACACCGGACTAGGGGGACACCCCGCTCCGAGTACTGGGGTCGCCGGTCAGCTTCAGAGGGAGCACACCGCAACTGGCAGCCGAAATGGGGAGCCGAGCACGAGCAGCCTTCGCCCAGAACCGGAAAGTCCTGACGGCGCCCACGTCGGCCAAACCCAGACTACAGCTACATGAGACCTTGGTCCGACAATCAGCACTCTACGGCTGCGAGACATGGCAACCACACGACACTTTACTACGAGCAGCAAACACCCAGCAGCTCAGCCAGCTCCGCAGCATGACAGGAGGGGGGGCGGCGACCAGGCGAGCAATGGCACGAATGGAACACGAGAACCCTTCGACAAGCCAGGGGGTTGCTACACAGAACCAAGGGGGAAAGATGGTCCACATACATATCGCGCATGATCTGGCGCCTGTGGGGGCATGCAATCAGAGGCGGGGGGGTGACGCGCGACATGCTCCTGTGGCGGGGGCTCGCCTTCTGGCGAACAGAGCAACGCAAGCACCCTACACAAGGCGCCAGGCACGCAGCAAGGTTCTGTAGCCAGATGGACACAGAGAGGCAGATCGCAGCAATCGCAGGGGAAGAGTGGCCACAAATGGCCATGGACAGACAACGATGGCAGATGGAACAAGCCTTCATAGACCGCTACGACCCGCCCTGGGCAAGCGGCAAACAACCGCAGCTTACCAACCTCGCACCGGGGAGAACCACCCACGACGGTCAACAACGCAGAGCACTACCAGCAACAAGCAACAACCACACCGCAGCCAGCCGAACCGCCACACAGCGACCGCGAATGACCCTACCACAGCCGTGAGGGGGGAGAGCAGAAGCTGAGTGAGGGAACAGAGGAGAGATGCAGTCACACATGTCAGTTTTTCCATGCAGTTTCTTGCCAGCAACATGACAGTCACGTGAGCTTGTTGTGAGAATTCGTTACAGCGTCGGGGGAGCAGCTGCCGTTGCAGCACTCTTGCCCGAGCACCCAAGCCAGTTGAGCACCGCGCTAGCCACCATGGCGAGTTTGGTGCTTAAGATCCTAACAGCCATGTGCTGGGGGATCCCGGTGGCCCTATGGGCAACCACGCGAGGCGGCCAAGGACCGCCGCCCACGACGACGCAAGGAACAGGGCGGGGGACGAGGCTGAGCAGCAGCCTCTCCGTCACAGGAGAAGACCCAGGCCCAGGGAATGGAGCGGGCCCACTGCCGCCCAGAGCTGCAGAACAGGACGACGACGGAGCAGGCAGAACGCCACGGCAGCAAGACACAGAAGACCACCAACGCAGGCCCCAAGGGGGGAGAGGCAACATTGCGGCCGAGCACGGCCAGCAGCAGACGGCAGCAAACCCCAACCGACCCACGACGCCAGCAGCCTACGCAGCAACTGCCCAGCATCAACAGATGCAAAGCCAAGGGCAACAACCACACACGACACCACCGTGGGACCAAGGTCCCAACAACCAGGGGGGACACCCCACATCACATCAAGCAAGGGGGGGCAACAACCACCACAGCTACAGCAGAGGCCGCTGACCACACCCTATAGACCCATGGGAAACAGACGAGAGCAGCCCAGCCGCTTCCCAACCACCACCGCAACAACCGCAAGCAACAACAGCGGCAGCGGCAGCCAACAGGGGGGGAAGCTTTCACAGCTTTCAGAAAGGATATGCTCCACCCTGGAATGAGGAGACCGACCCTTGGCATGAAAGGGGGGAGCTAGCTCCAGAAGAAACGGAGCCGAGATACCCCGGCAATCCCGTGCCGCGACTACAACTTCCACCCCAGCAAGCACACACGGCAACCCACCACCAACACACAACAACTCACAACCACATACAGCGGGACCGCCCACCACCACAACACGCACAAGCACCACACAACAGCCACCCAACCACACAAAGCAGCCACCCAGCCGGGGGGCAGCATGGCCAAAACCGGCAGCAACCACCACACCAGAGCGGCCAAACACCACCGACGCAGCAGCAGGCGACAAGCCAGCCGCCGACGAGGCCCAACAGGTGGGAGGAAGACCAAAGGGCTAAACGCCAAAGAGCCCGAGAAGCAGCACCAGCGGAGGCAGCCACGCACCACCAACCACCACACGGGGGGAACCGAACCCCAGCACTGACACAATCAGCAGCGGAAAGAAGCACAGCGCCCAGAGGTGAAGCCACAGCAGCAGCAGCGAGGGGAGCAGCCCCATCCAACAACCACCCACACCACCACCAGCCACCACACGGAGGAGACCGGACTCCAGAGCAGACACAACCAGCAGCGGGCGAAAGAAGCAAACAACCACCCACCCCGAAGGGGAAACACAACCCCTGCCACGGCCACCACAGTCCAGACAGTCACACCGAAGCCGAAAGCCAAACCGCCACCGGTACCACAAGAGAACACCACGCAAAGCAGCTCCATCATACCGCCACCTTGGGAGCAAGTGCCAGCAGACACAACAGACACCAGGGGGAGAGGCATCTCCCCACCACCGGGACTCACAGTCCGAGAAGCATACACCTTTGCAACCACAGGACAGCTGCCGGAGGACATACACACCAGGACCCAGGAGGAGAGCGAAAGCAGTGAGGATGGAAACGAAGGGGGGGAGAGGGAAGCCAGCAACGAAGACGCACCCCGCCAGCGGCTGCACAAAGCAAACATGAGGGCGGTCCAGCAGACAACCACAGCGACAACCAACAAACAACACACGGCACCGAGCAGCACAGCGACCTGCAACCCAGACCGCAGATCAAACTGACTGGGCGGACCTGCTCAATCGCCACCTCCGCCCCTGGCCCACACCAGCAACACCGACCACGGCAACCCCGCCACAACAAGCACAAAGCAGCAGCGGGGGAGCCCCCCAGACGAGGCCAGCCGACACCACAGACCAGCCAGCAGCCGACCCAGCCGCAACGCAACCACAACAACAACCACCCACTCCAGCCTACAGCTACTACGAAAGCTGGACCACGAGCAAGCAAGCCACAGCCGCAAAAGAAGCACACGACAGAAGAAGCGCGGCAGACAACGGTCAGCCAGCAGCGCCGAGAGCAGGGGGAACGCAACAGCCACCCCGAGAGAACACAGACAAAGCCAGCACACAAGCCGCTGCCGACCACAAGGCAAGACGACAGCAGAACCCATACCTGCAGCAAAGAGAAGGGACGCAAGCAGACAGGGGGAGACCGCCAACCAGACCAGCAGCAACGCACGTGCACCCCGAACGCGAATGGGGGGAACAACGCAACGCCACCCCTATGGGGGAGCCGGAAGCTTACTTCCAGGATAGGGATGCACAAGCAAACCAAGAAAGCCACATCAAGAGGAGAGGACCGCCACAGCTACCGCACAGCAGCCGGACGCAAGTCCTTTACGTGTCGGTGGGGAAAGGCAAGTGGGTTGCCAGAGTGGAAGCCCCACCAGGGGCCCCCTCCGCACCAAGCAATAGGGGGGAAAAGGGGGTGCCACAACGCGGCCTGCTGGAAACAGGGCAGGAAATGTGGACAGCACCTGGCTTCCCAGAGGGGAGCATCATAGAAATCGAGACGACAGTCGGGCTGGTGTACATGTCACATGCTCACAGTTATAGCACTTCCCGCTGAGCACCGACAGGAGGGAGGCACACTCGCAACAGAGGTGGGGAAGGCGTACTTTGCCGAAGAGATCCAAGGCACCTGGACCTGCGGGGGGACCACGCCACGGACCGCCCAAGAAGAAGTACCAGCCCCAGGCCAAGGACGCGCAGTGGGGGACTCGACAAACCCTGGCAAACCATACCGACCCACAGCCACCGCAGGGCCACAAGGGGGAACACAGGGGCGGCCAGCAGCAGCAGTGCAGCAGCCACACAACCACACCCACAGCCAAGGCAGGAGGGGAATGCAGACAGGCAACCACAACCACAACAACCACCACCAGCATCAGCCACAGCAGCGCGCACCCGACTTCAGGGACAGTCGGCCTTTGAGGGGGCAACAGCCAGAGCCTCAACACCAAAGCAGGGAGGCGGCGCGCAACCAGCGGCCACAAGAACCACCACAACCACAACAACCGCCACAACAACCGCAACCCCACTTCTACACCACAGTTCGTGACGGGAGGCAGATCGGCAGAGGAGACTCACAACAGCCCAGGAACAGCCACAGCCACAGACAAACCCCACCAGACCACGACCGCACCGAACTGTGGCAACTGCCACCTGTGGCCACCACGACCTCCAGCACCACAAGCACTACCACTACAACACCACAAGACTGCAGCCACCCAGAGGAAGAAGAAAACTACCTCAACGGAACGGCAACGGACGAGGAGAACTTCGGGCTGGTCAGACGGCGCAGAAGGACCCCAGTAGGAGGGGGAAGAAGGAGGGGCAGAAAGAGCAAGCCCAACCACACGACAGCAACCAGCAGCTCCGAAACACCACCTACCGCCACCAGCACGATAGCCAGTCTGAGGGGAGCCCTGGCAGCAGCCACAGCACAGATACAGCTGATACAGGAAATAACGGAGACGATGAGAGAACCAGAGGGGCAAATCGTTGCCAACATATGCTCTATTGCCCTGGCCATGTTGGCTCAACCGGGCGCAGCTACGCGGGCAATGCCACAACGAGGGGAACTACCTCATGAAGCAGACTGCGGAGCGTTGCGTGAAGCCTTCAACCAGATCACCAGCATGCGAGTACGAAGGGGAGAAGGCCTCACCAACGAAGAGTTTGCAACGGACCTCAGCTTGGTTCGCAACCTCTGTGGCATGGGGGCAGAAGAGCTCCGCGAACCCATGGCAGATGAAGTGCCGGGGGAAGCCAGACAGCGGGCCATTGAGGCAGCCAAGGCAGCCTACAAAATGCTGGACGAACCATCCTGCCAGCGCTGGGGGGAGACCGCTCCTGGAACACGCTGAGATGGTGGACCCAGCTGCAGGAAACAGTGTTGCCAGCGACAGCCATGGGGGAACAACGCCAGGGATGCAGAGCGGACCAAACGCCAGCCACGGGGGAGCATACAGCACACCCAGCTGATGTGGTCGCACTGGCGGACCCGGGCACGAAAGAGTGGACAGCGCGTACCAGCCAGCTGCACAGTACGGCGACGAGGCTCATGGCGGCAGCAAGCCGTTTGCGAGGAGTGATCCCGCTAATGGGGGGAGACACCATTGGCGCGGCCATCCAGACACTCTCAGCCTTGGGATGAGACCCAGACCGAAGAGAAGGGGGACAAGAACGAGAAGACCGAGGCAGAGGCCAACATGGACGTCGAGATGGGGGACCCGCCAAGCACAACCGGCACCAAAAGAAAGTGGATCGGCCGGCATGGGGTCACAGAAGACGAAGTGGCCGCCCTGGAAACAGACAGTTTCCTTGCAGATCTGGGGGAAGTGGAAGCAATGCCAACGCTACCACTCCCAACGGCACCAGACGTCGACTCAGCCGACGCGGAGACCGTGCCGTGGGGAGACAGAGGGAGAACAGCGAGACCACCGACTACCAGACCGAGAGATGAGGACACCTCCGATTCCAGCCCAGCCTCGCACCGCCGCCGCCGCCTGCACGCGGCCTTTTTTGACAGACATGGCCCCATCTAACATAGAGGGGACAACACAGGCCGGGCCCCACAGCAAACTTGATGTAGGTACCAGTTATCTTGCTTATGTTGTGCTACTTGACAAGGGGGGAACCGAGCCTGACCGTACCACTAGTAAGAAGGAACTCCTCCCTGTACTCGTCGCTGCATGTACTCTTATGTTGGCTTGTTGGTTTGCGAAAAAAGGGGGAGATTCCGGAGCGGCTCACCCAAACACAATAATGAACCGTGATCCTGTGATGACTTATGGCATGATCCTCAGTTGTTGCTTTGTATGCTAAAAAGGGGAGCTGCTAAAGATCGTAGGTCTTACGGGCGGGAAATCGCCTGGTGTAGGTACTAAAAGCACAGGGTTGGGGGGTTTTGTCACCAGGCGATCTCTACCTACCGCACCGACCAGGGGGAAGCAACCCCTAGCACTCGACCCCAAAGCCCTCTGCCACAAACAAAGCGGGGAGGGGGGGGCCTCGGCCCGGGTCTTCGGACCTTGCCCCGGATGCGAGCGAACGAGCGAGCGAGCGAGAGAGAGAGAGAGAGAGAGAGAGAGAGAGAGAGAGAGAGAGAGAGAGAGAGAGAGAGAGAGAGAGAGAGAGAGAGAGAGAGAGAGAGAGAGAGAGTAGCCATTTTGGCTCAAGCCGTGAGCGGTTCGAGCCCCGAGCCCAGTGTTAGAAAGGGGAGCAACAGGGGGTTGCCGCGTGAGTGTGAGTGAGAGAGAGGCTGTGCGGTGAGAGCAGCCATCGTCCTGAACGCGGGGGACGCTGTTCAACGCGAGTCCATCTTGCACGTTGTGCACCGTGAGTTCGGTGTCCTCACTCCTGTTCGGCCTTCACACGCTGACCCTTGGGGACTTTGACAAACCTCTCCATCGCGGCACTCGGCGATCCTACGTGGACGGGGGACAAGAACGATCCCGCGATCTTATACCTGCAGGGCGGAGCAGAAGTCAGCGCACAGACCGGCGGGGGAAGGAAACGACCCGCACAGACAGACGACGATGAGGGGGAAAAGCCTCTGTCCCTCAACACTTTTCTGGCAGCACTCAAAGACAACCGCGAAGAGATCGTGGCTCAGGTCCGTGAAGATATGGACAGCCTGGCCAACAGAGTGAGCACCGTTGAGCTTACAGTCGACACCCATGTTAGCAATACCACTAAGCTCTTGGAAGCTATGACAGACAGGCATTGTGCGATGGAAGAAAGTGTTCGCAAGGTGGACAGCCGACAGGGGGAGATGATGCAACGACTCGAACTTCTCGAGGGCAAGCTCGCCAAGGCCACTTTCTCTCTCTCAAGCACACGAACCTCCGAGAGCGAAGGGGGGAACCCCCGACCAGCACTGGTGGTCGGGGGATGGGACGCAGATCAACACCATGAGGAAACCCTGAAGCTCGTGAAACAGCACCTTGTCGAGCTCAATGTGAACCTCGATGTTGACAAGGCCTTCGTACCGGGGCTTCGCCGTGGATTTGCCCTGGTCCCCCTCACTAATCTGGAGGGGGAAACTGGTGCAGACCAGCGAACCAGGGTGCAGGAAGTCCTGAGGACAGTGCTAGCGGCGAAAATCATTACAGGGCAGCGACCTGAAGGTGGAAACCGCTACTTCTTCGCGGCCCTTAGCCAGAGTCCAGAACGCCGTCGACGTGCACAACTTGCTGGCAAAGTCAAACGTCTCATCATCGAAGAAGGTGGTGACCCACGCCGAATTGACGTCGAGTACGGCACTGCCAACTTGTGGTACAATAGTGTCAAGATCGCATCGAGGGTGACCTCGGCTCCCGACAAGGCCACCACTGAGAAGGCCGGCTGGGTCCATCTTGGAACCCTAGCCCGCCAGATTGGCATCTCGGAGGAAACCGCCACAGCTCGCTGGGGGGACCTCCGCAAAGCCCTCAATTGAAAAAAGCAGAAGGAGCGGGTGGCCATTTTGGCCAGCGACCCGCAAAACAAGGTGCATGTGATCAGCTGGAATGTAGGGGGACTTACCTCTGCTAAAGTACTGGATGTCCTTCTTGCCCTCCGGCGACATGGAATTCGTCCCTTTTCGGAGTCCCTGATCGTACTGATCCAAGAGGTCATTTGCGAGGCGGGGAAACAACATGCATAACTGGATGATCTGCAGATGATCTTCGGCAAACGTCCCGAAGACTGGCGGGGGAACGCCGTTGCGCACACCGCCAACATGCAGCACACCCGGGGAAAGATTCTGCATGGGGCTATGACATGTACACTTGCCTCTTCAGACTTCAGGTTGGGGGCTTTCTCAATCCACATTCCACACCACGCCACACTCTCCATTACAGAACAGATATTGCAGGGGGTGCACAACCACACTACCCTCCACAACAAAGCTGTCATCGGCATGGATGCTAATGAGACCTTCAGCAGTGCAAGTCAAAACAAGCAGATCAAAGCAGCAACAGCTCGAGGGGAACTTCTGTTGGATTGGCTCGATGAGGAGCGCTTTTATCTGCCGCCGCAGGAGCTTCAGAAAGCAAGCCACTTTCCGTACAACACTGAACTCCTGCCCCGGAGGTTGGATTATATCTTTGTTAAGAGGTTGCTCTGTGACTCGGGGGAAGTCCTCGCCCACCGTGATGTCGCGACCTCTGACCGTGAGCCTGTCTTTGTACCCCTGGCACAACTTCGCTTGGCAGCCGAAACGGCGACGAATCCTGCAGCGTGGTCGGCGAGGCAACTGCTCAAGGGGGACAAGGTGGATCGCATCCTCGACAGAGAAGCCAGAGTGGGGGGGGACCCCGTCGCACAGCTGCAGAAAGTTGCCGTCGCCATCACGAAGCCAGGGAAAAAGAAAGTGCCATTCGTTGAGAGTGCGAACCTGCGAGAAGTTCGCCGGCAGGCCCTCGTGACCCCGCCGGGAACTGAGGCGCAGCCTTCGGAAGCAAGCCCGTCGTCCACATTTGGCAGAACACAAACAGTGGAAACGCTTGGCCATGCAGAAGGTTGCTGAACTCGACTGGGGGATGAAGAAAGCCCTGCTTGAACAGTCGCGGGACCACTCGTGGGAAGTTGGCCTCACAGAAGACGAGAACTGGCGACACAAGCTCCGCGAACACTTTGACTTTAGTGCATACACGGCGCACTGACGACTCCTTTTGCGGTCACATGCACCATCAAGCGAAAGGCTGCACACCGAAAACTATGGCACAGCGCCCTTCGGCCCCCGGTGTGGGAGGGTGGGCTCACTGAAACCAAAACGGCCCTCGGGTCGTAGCGACTTCGCGAACGCCCAAAAGCTACGGTTATGCCTAACCTTGCACTTTAGTGCATACACGGCGCACTGACGACTCCTTTTGCGGTCACATGCACCATCAAGCGAAAGGCTGCACACCGAAAACTATGGCACAGCGCCCTTCGGCCCCAACAAACATTTCAAAACTCGGCTCAAGTGTAATGAACTCGCTGTTCCACAGAAGCCATCTTGCTCGCAGCCTGCTTCAAGGCCGTCTCGCCATCATGAAGGTAGCGTTGAACAGCCGATGACGACCACCGTCCCGTTCGCTTCACCACCTCGATCTCGCCCGTGGCCTGGAAGAGCGCCGATGCTCCGCCAATGCGGAGAGAATGGGACATGAACCTCCCGGGAGGCAGGCCCACACCAGCTGCGGCTTGCTGCAGAAGGTACTGGACCTGTGTCCTCTTCAGCATCTGCCCATTGGCCCACCGGAAAAGTGGCTTCAGAGCCTCGCCTCCGTGCCCGAAGCGTTGGGGGGCAATCCCCGGAAGCGTAGCAGGGCCTCCACCACACACAGATCTTTGACACCCGAGGCGTACATCGTCTTGCACGTGCCGAAGGCCTCCTGATCCGTCTTCGTCTTGCGGAACTGGAGGGTGACAAAGGCCTCGCCCTTCTCATCGCATTCGATCTTGAGGTCGACGCCTCGCATGATCATGGCATAGTCGACCCCGTTGGACTCGCAATACTCCTTCGCCCGCAGCATGAAAAACCATGCCGTGTTGAGGGCCGCCAAAACCATGATTGAGTCGAAGCGCTCCTCCGCCGTAGCCGCCAGATGGGGGCCCATGACCTCAGCGATCCATTTGAGCATCCCCGGCGTAACGCCCAGTCGCCTGGGCCTTTTTGGTGCTCTTTTGTCCAAAGCACCCACTCAGTAGCATCCATAGACGGTGCATCTTCTCAGTGGGATCACCTTGGCCTCCACGTTTGTGCCCGTCCTTGATCGCGAACACCGCCTGCTTGAGCGAAGCCACTGAGTTTCCCAGCCAGCCCAGGTACCCGAGGAATCCGAGCAACTTGTTCTCGTTCGCCTCGACAGGCTCCGACTTGTCGAGGAACTCCGTAGGCCACCCTTGTCTCGCACTCCAGGCCCTCCATTTGCTGTAGATGCCCGCGTACTGCTTCGCCGTGCTGTCAGCGAGGTAGCCACACAAGTTGTCCTCGACCCACTCCTCGACATGCGCCCCGACTTCACCGGTGAACGGTCTGACCGGGCCCGGTTCGATATGCACCTGTGCGGCCCCATGTGCCGCTTCAGCCTTTCCACGACGAGTGCCCCCTCTTGGAGCTCCGGCCCGCCTGGGATCGTCCTCTGCCTCATCCTCGCTGCTGGAAGCGGGCAGCCACAGCACATCGCCCCATCTCCACACGGTGACTTTCTTGATGTAGCTGCCCGCGCCGCCGTCCTTTTCGCCCGCTCGGCCGCCTTCATGAACTCGAGGCTCGCACCCTCCGGCCCGCCGATCGTCTTCTTGTCCAGCTGCTCGGGAAAGTAGTCCACGCTTCCACCGTCGCAGCCACTCCAACACCTTTGCGAGGTTCGCATCGTCCCAGCTATCCCATACTCCTCCGGCTCGAGCGTCGGAAGAAACGGAGTAGCCCGCCATGAGCCCGCGGTTTGCCCCCCGGTGGCCTTACTTCCTTCTCTCAAGAGAAACCCGGGCTCATGTCCTTCGCCGCGAAGTTGATCCCAAGCCGTCGGCCGCCTCCCTTGACATAGCCACACTTCTGCCTCCGTGAGAAGCCGCACTGCACCAGGTGGGCCCCTGGGTTCCCAAACAACACACTGCTGGATCTTGCCGTTCTCACACAGCGGCCAACGCAGCGGCCCGCTCGTGCTCATCAGCACGTGCCTCTCGCCCTTCACCCAGTAGTGGCCCTTCAGGAGAGGCAAAAGGGGCTCACGGGGAATGCCAGAGTCGACGAGGATCGTGTCCGGGTAGATCCACTGGCTCACCGACGTCGAACGCGCATCTTCCAGCACAGCACTCATCGGCGGTGCCAGTGTCCCCCTCGACGTGTTGGCGACGAACAGACCCTGGACAGATCCATGTGGAGCCGCCACCATGCATTTCCGCCTCCTCGCAGCAAGCTCGCCAAACTCCGTGGTGAGAAACTCGCAAACCTCAGTGTCCCACATGGCCCGTTCGAAGAGCCTCGCCGCCTTCTCCCAGGGCACTTGCCGCGGGCCCTCGAAGATCACGAGCTGCGCCTTCCCCTCAATGGCGGTCTTGCTGGCCGTCAAGATCACCTTGGCGTGCAGGTCGGGCGGTAATGAGGCAAAGACCACCTCAGCTGGGAACACCGGCCCCGACCAAGACGATGAGCGCCCCTGGCCACCCGCCGCGATGGCGGCCTCGACAAAGTCCTTGACGACCCGGTCCGGACCACACAGCTCCACCGCGCGGAAGTCGCTCCATTTGGGTGCGATCGTGTGTGGCACCGCCCGCTTCAGCCTTCGTTCCTTGAGCTGCATGAGCACCCTGCGGTCCTCTGCGCCCCAAGCCAGCAAACATGGCCCAAAGCGCTCCGAGTCGATCATCGCCTGCCGGAGGGCATCCGTAACGTCGACGACCTCCCAACCCTTGTCCTTCACGATCGCGTCGAACTCCTCATCGGAGCACCGGGTGAGCAGGTCGGCGTGGACATTGTGAAAGGTCCTCCACCACGTGGCCACAAGTGCGAAGCGAAAGCGCATCTCCAGCAGGTTGATCACGCGCACGAGAAGACGTCCCACCCTCGTGCCCGCCTTCCTGCCGACGATCCATTCCTTCACGATCTTGTTGTCCCCGCCGTAGAGAACGATCTTGCCCTGCCACGACTCCCCGACCTGGCACGCAAAGGCCAGGAACGACAGCATCTCGGCGACATGGATGGCGACCTCGTCCTCCTCGCCACACCGTTGAACCCACTCAGCTGCCGCTTTGGCCTTCATCCTCATCACGGAACCGCCGGTCCAGTCGATGGCAGCGATCATGACCTTGGTGGCATCGGAAGACACAAAGACAGTCCCAGCATCCCACTCGCCTGGGAGAGCGAGACGCTCACGGATCGGAAGGAGCTCGCGCATGCTGGCTCCGAACTTCGTAGGCCACGTCTCCGGTCTTGCACACAGCCATCGCGACTCCTCGAAAAGGTCACGCCAAGCCTGTTCACACTCCTCGGCATCCCCAGGAACCGCCAGCTTCGGGCACACCTTTGCGCCGCCATCGCCTCCACCACCCAAGAATCGGTCGGCCGCCTTGAGCTCGTTCTTGAGCCCCCGGACGATCACGGTCCAACCAGTCGCCAGACCACGGAACCTCTGCACAGCACGCACCGTTAGGTCCTTGCAGCCGTACTCGAAGGCCCCGTCGCTAAGAAGGTGGGCCCCTTTGAGGATTCGTCTCTCCGGCAGGTGGATCTCCTCCGTCGCAGTGTCCATGTCCAAGCCCCACACCGTCTGGAACGTCGGAAACGGGCCTTCCACGAGGTCCTTCTCCCGATTCACCGCCGCATCGCCGAGGAGCGTCTTCACCCCGAGCTCGTACACTTCACTCGCCACCCAAGGCCTCAGGCCCACCAGGGGCTCAACCAGCACGTTGTCGTCGACGAGGATGCGGCTCTCAAACGCCCAGGCCAGGTCTCGTCGGGGTTTCGCGGGGCAATGACGTCGTAGGAACTCCTCGGTAGCTTTGCCCCACATCGTCCACTCACCCGGCGAGCCAGAAAAGCCAAAGGAGCTGACGAGGTAGACTATGGTCATGCCCTCCCCGGTCGCCCTGTCGCCCTCTTCCATCTCCTCTGGAACCCATGGGAGGTCACCCGCAAACAGCTCGGCATCCCTGGGATCGACCCACAGCAGCCGAAAGGCCCCCGCCACATCCTTCTTGCTCATCAAGACCTCGACGCCCGGCAGCTGGCATTTCGCAAACAGCACTAGCCTCGCGATCTGCTCATGCCGTGGTTGGACAGAGGGAGGATGCCATTCTTTGTGAGTGCCCTCGTTGATCACCCTCTGGTCGTGCACAATGCGCTTGTCGGGGGCGATGGAGCGGTCCGGCAGCATCTTGTCAACAGCATCAAAGGGGCTCGAAATCACCGGGCCCATCTCCAACCCTGCCGGCACGACCAAGACACGAAGCTTGCACACGTCCTTCCAAATCTGGCGGTACACTTGAGCCAGATTCCGCCGCCCATTTGGGTGGACCTTCGCCTGGCACCGCTTGCGCTCTCCCACGAACCGTGCAGCCAAGCCCCGCCTGCGAACGTCGCGAAGGTACTCCAGGAGGTCCGGGTGCAGGACGGTGTCCAATCGGGAATCGTCGACGCCTTTCAAGTTGTTGAGCCCCTTCTCCTCGCGCACCGCCCACAGACTCTCAGCGGCAAGCTTGACCGACCCAGCCTCCTGGACCAGACGTGCACCTCCATCACAGACCCGCTTCCAGGCCTCGGGACACCCGGGACCCCCTTTTCCAGTGAGCTCGATGTAAGTCTGGGCCGCGATCTTCGCCTCTTCGGTCGGGGGCCTCGTAGCGTTCGGCACTGCCCGCCCTCGTGTCCTCGCCGTTCACCACCCAGCCATTCGTGGGGAAGTCGCCGAAGCCGATCGTGCCCTCGCAGTAGTCATCGTCGAGCTCGTGCAGCCAACCACTGCGGCCACCGCACCGGCCTGAAACATCGCCACCGGCCCTACTTGCCCAGTGGGGGGCCCACGGCCCAACGTCATACTCATCGGAGCCCGCTCGCGTCTCCTCCGCCACCGGCCACTGTGGCCTGCTGTCCTCACCCCCCGCGACCAGCGCCTGCTGCAAGGTGGACACCACGGTGCGCACAAACTCCTGGGTAGACGCCCGCCTCTGCGCACCTGGACTGTGCGGCCCCCGGTCGAGCGCCAGCCAGAGGAACGTGCCGATGAGCTGCTCCAACGCCCGGGCAACACCGCGACAGGGCGGCCGCAAAAGCCTCACATCGTGGGAAAACCAGCCGCGTGCGATGATGATAGTAGCCTTCACCGTCAGGCGGCCGCAAGCCAAAGGCGCACATGGGAAACTCCACAAACTGTACGTCGGGGCGGCGAAGGATCTCCCGCCACCAAGGCAAATCCCACATTTTGGGGTAACGACCAGACTTGCCCGAGGACTCGGCAATGGGAAAGGCGCCGTTGCGCAGGGCGTTGAGGAAGAGCTCCGCACCGACCTTGCTCAGCGTATTGCCCTGAAGCTCCACCTCCTTATGGGGTCGGTCGCCTTGGCCACCCCATGGGCACTGAAAGGTGCGAGTGCCCCCATTTTGAGCGCACCAATCGCAGAAACTTGTGCAGGGGGAGGCAATCCACCAGACGTTCGCGTCGCCGCTGCCTGCAAGATAAAGAAGGCGTTTCTGCACCTCCCCTTTGGTCAAGTCATGGTCCGGGCGATAGCCGACGCGATTGACTGGATCCGCCCACAGTTCAACAGGCTCCAGCACCTTGATCCCCGCCGCGGCCCAAGCTGCTGTCATGACGGCGGCGCCGGCGAAGACCTCCTGAAAGCACAAAGAAGCACCCCGAACGGAGACCTTGTCGAAGTTGGGTCTGGAGCCCGCGCGGATGCAGCCCACAATGGCCGCCGCTGCCAGATTGCTCTCCCGCCTAACGTGGACCACCGCCTCGCCTGCTTTGCGGCCTCGGCACAGTCTGCACTGAACAACACCGGGTGAAGTGCGCTCCTGATCGTGACGAGTGTGCCAGAACAACAGGAAGCCCAGTGCGGGGGTGTCGTACGGCTGCCAGCGGTCCAAGAAAACTTCGGCTTGCATGCCCGGTGGGGGTTCAAGGAAAACCATGTGGCCCCTCCAGATCAAGGTCCAAAGAGTCCAACCACCATCCCGCCACAGCGGCCCCGTGACCGTTTCCACCACAACATCGCCCTTGTAGTCGGCCCTGATCACCACCAACTTGCAGTCCTCGAGCTCGGCCAAAGGAAACACCGCCAGCGACCGGAAATCCTTGTCGTGGTTCGCGCGGACGGTGTCGCGGGTGTAGATGCGGATCTCGGCCTCAATGGGAGCTACCTTCTGAGCCGGCTCGCCCATGACTGCCTGGGCCTCCAAAGCGAGCCTCGTCTGTTCCAGCCGTAGCTCAAGGGCCTTCTCCTCCACCTCCCGTGGGCTCGGTTGCCGGGCGCGCTGCCGCCACATGATGCCTGCCGCAATCGCCTTGGTGACACACTGACGCTTCTCAGCACCCTCCTCAGGCTGCTGGAGCATACTGGCCAACTCCTCCGACATGCGAACCTCCTCCCGGTAGTCCCAAATCGTCCACGTGGCTCCTTCGATGTTCGCTGTCGCCTTTTTGGGGCGGCCCGGCTCCCAAACAACCTCCGTCACCTGGATGCCCTCCTCCAAGCTGGCGTGAGGGTTCATCGCGACCCGTGTGGCGGCCCAAGCAAACAAGTCATCTGAGGCAGTCCGAAGTTGGCCTAACACTGGCCCGTTCGCGAGGGCCTCAGCCCGCGCCACCAAGTCCTTCGCTTCCTGGGGAGCTGACTCTCCAGTAGCCTCGGCCGCCGTGAGGTTGGCCTCGCCCCCTCCTTGCAGCCATGCACGGTCGGGCCCCTTGAGTGCCTCGCGTAGGTCCTCCTCCGCCGCCGTGTAGTCGACCGCTCCGAACTCGTCGGGAATTTTTTTTTGAACTGCACGACCTTCTCGCCGCCCGCTCTGGTCTCGCCGGGCGCCTGGACATCATCACCTTGGCCCGACTTGCGATCCGTGGTCTTTGCGGCCTTGTCCTTGACAACCGCCACTCTCAGAGCCTTGATCTTCTCGGTGACGGAGTCCTTCGTCTCGGGCCTCATCCGCCTCAGACCACCTCGACGAAGCAACTGCATCTGCACGCACGGGTCGAGGGCCTCAAACTTGCCCCGGAGCTCAGAATGCGACCGGCCACACGCAGGGCACCCCAGCACAACAGCAGCCCGTCCTGGTCCAGGAGAGCACGCTCCTTGGCTTTGTTCACCTCCTCAGTAGAGAGCTTCGGGCCCCATAGCGCCTTCACCGTCGGCTTGGCTGGCGAATCAGGCTTCTGTTCTCCTCCAGCGTGAGTTGATGGCTTCGCGCTGCGAGTGCCCTCCCAAGTGAGTCGCCACAGCATCCGCTCCTGCTTTCTCTCGATACGCGGGAGGACCTCCGTCATGAACCAACCATCCGGGAAACGAAGGTCGAAGGTGCGAGGGAGCTCTAGCCACGCAGTACCCGAAGCATTCGGCATTAAGGCGTAGAACTTGATGTCCGGCAACGACATGGTCTCCCGCCCCGCCTCCTTCTTGAGCAGCCTGAGGGTCTCTTTAAGTTCCTCGAAGAAACGCCAATGCAGCTCCTCCCACACATCCATGAGCACGGTGAGGGGCCACTTGTGGGGCTCGGCTTGGTGCCATTCCAAAAGCCGCTCCAACGCATGGTGCGCGCTTCCACTCGCTGCCGTAGACGAGGGCCCAAACATCGTTCTGGCGCCTGACGCGACCCTCCCAGTCCTCGAGCTTGCTTGGGGGCTGCGGCCTCTGATCTGGGCCGGCTTTACTGGACCTGAGGTCCTGCACGAAGGCGTCCAACTCCGCGTCGGTGTGGGCGGCGCAGCTTGGTCGATGCTCCCACCTGTGCCGATAGGAGAGCGTTCGCCAGCGCTTGACCTTGTTCGCCTGCACCGACCGTGACCTGGTACTGGTTGCAGGCCCGGAGCAAGAAGACCAACTCCTCGGACGTCCTGTTCAGCCCTTTCATGGTGCCGGGCGGAACCGCGGTGTTCTCCGTGTGACTCTTCACCAGGGAGGCAATCTCCGCCGTCTGCGACTGGATGGCTCGAGCGATCTCGTCGAAGGCGCCTGAGTCCGTCGCCCCTGCTTTGCGATCCTCCACACCAAAGATGCCCGGATTTCCGATTCGAAGAGGCCCGGGAGCACGGTCCTGCAGGCTCGGCGGCTTCTCAGGGGACGTTTCCACCAAGTCCCAAGATGGAGCCGAGCTGCCCCGCGCCACGCTGGCTGGCGAAGAGCCCCGTGTCGATGAGGGCTTCTGCCAGGCCTTCAAGAACTTGGTGAGGCCACGCTGCCCCTTCTCCTGCTCCACAATGGCCGCCCGCACCAGCTCCTTAGTCACCCCCTTCAGCGTCTGGCCCCGCTCAGCGGCGATGCTCACTCTCACGTCCTCCTCTGATAGCCCAGCATCGCGCCCCTCAGCATACTGGTTGAAGAACTCCTCAAGCACAGGAAGGGGATGTTCCTTGGCCGGTGAGTCCAGCAAGCCCAACTTCGCCAAATTCTTCTGGATGCTCGACCGCGGCGTGCGGCCCGGCGAACTTCCCCTCACTCGCTTCTCTGGCTCACCGCCTTCTGACTTTACCTCCGCGAGGAGGCGCTTAAGATCACGAAGCCCTTCGGCACCGTCATGACCTCGTGGCGGTAGCTCAGGTTCCTCCGGATCGTCTTGTACAGGCTGAGGAGGGCGAGCCGGCGAGCGTCTGCGAGAGCTCGGCTTTCGGACCTCGCCCAAAGTGTGGAGGCGGCACCGACGAACACCATCGCCAGACTCGCCCAGAATTCCCACATGAGCACAACCGTTGTGATGGCACTGCTGAGGTCGCCGCCGTCGTTCGGAGTCCAAAGCATGCTGAGGGCAAAGATCTACACGACCCAAATCATCAAACCGGTCCTCAAAGAGCAGGTCACAGAAGGTGGTGCCCGGCATCCGGCAAGGCTGGGTCGCTAAGCTGCAATCCCCGGCAAGATCGGCCCAGGCAACGCGGTGAGCACCACACGCCTTGGCTGGCTCGGTCTCCGACTCGGATCCGAACTCCTTCAGCGGTTTAGGGGGCCTGGCCGGTGACGCCCACAACCATGACCATAAAGCTCGACCCGCTTTGGCTGCGCCGAGCTCCGCGTTCTTGAGATGGAAGCGCTCGCCGTCGAAATCGCGAGCCACGCCGTACTCCTTGAAGTGCTGGCCCTCCTCGTTGCACACCAGGTTGCGGCAAAGATGAATTTTGTCGTAACCCTGGCACGCCTCCACAATCTCCTTGTCGCCCCGCATCGTGTCCGGCTCGATAGGGACAAACAAGCCGGGCGTTCTGATCGTCTGGGAGTCGCTGCCCGCCTTGAAGACCGCCACATGCCCGCCGCGACGGATCAGGATCCACTTGTCAGCGCCACCGACCTTCTTGAAGGCTCGGAGGTCCGCGGTTTCGGGAATCCTTCCCGTACCCGGGCCCAAGAACTCGGCGTCAGAGGCTTCAGGCACGCCCCCAGCCGCCTGCTGAGCCCAGTAGACCAACGTCCCAAGCTTGCGGACGATGGCCCTCACTAGCCATACGACCCCCATCACGACCACCGAGATCAGCGACAGCACCGGCCAGCACAAAGCCCACAGGTAGTGGGCACCCATGCACAGCAGCAGCAATGCCAAGAGTCGGAAGATGCGCTGGCAGCCCGTCCTCACACCTGGCCACGAGTTCCCGAACAGCATCCAGCCGATGAAACTCACTGCGGTGTCGAGGACCATGCACAAACCGCTGTCCCACGACCACATCCGCTCCGGTACACTCTGAGCGTCGGGCCATGTGAGCCAAGCAGCCCAGTCGCTGCCAACATTCGCGTGGGACACAACCCACTCACGGAGCTGCGCCCACTTGGACTCGTCTCGAGGCCTGGCATCCGCCCCAGTCTGGTTGGTGACGTTGCTGTGCAGCCACCACCCGCCGCCCTGCTGCGCGACAGCAGCCAGGGAGATCAGAAGCCGAACGGCATGTGGCATGGAGCCCTACACACCTCACTGAAACCAAAACGGCCCTCGGGTCGTAGCGACTTCGCGAACGCCCAAAAGCTACGGTTATGCCTAACCTTGCAGAAGATCTTCAACAAACAAAAGGGGGAGATCGTGACCCAAAGGATCAAGGAGATCTTCGACAAACTCACTTTGGCCTGCAAGTTTACAAAGTGAGAGCCCTTCACCATTGAGGACCTGCAGGCCGTCAAGGAGAAATGGAAGAATGGCAAGTCTTGTGAACCTGACATGGTATCGCATGAAGCGCTGAAAGCAATTTTCCCGCACCCTATTTGGGGGGAAAGACTCCTGGCAACCTTCAATGACATGTTGTACACGGCTCGCGTCGTGCCAAGCATCGAGGCCGGGGTCACCATATTATTGGCGAAAGTCACACAACCCTCCAACTGGGGGGAAACTCGCCCCATCACTTTGAGCTCGGTCATGCTCAAAACCTTCGGGCAACTCCTTCTTCGCCGAGCCGGGGAAGCTATTCAAGCCCCGGCGAGACTCCAGTGGTGTCGTCGTGGAAGGCAAGGAGTCGAACTTATCATGATATTGAGACGGCTAGCTAGAGTTGCAAGAGACTGGGGCATGGAGTTTTACATTGCCAAATTGGACATTCGCAAGGCCTTCGATTCCATATACCAGGAGAGCCTTGCCGAACACGTTGCCTCCGTCGTGGGGGGAAGGCCAACCCGCCGTGGGAAGCTCGAGCATGGGTGGCAATGTTGCACGTCCAGAAGATCACGGTCGAGGTGGCAGGGGAGGCCATTCCCCTTCAACAGAGCAACGGTGTCCGACAAGGAGCACCCGAGAGCCCCGTCGCTTTCGGTGCAGTCGTAGCGGAAGACCTGGACGCCGCGATCCGGTCGGCACGACCTACAAAACCTGCTGGAGACGATGCCCCTCCTGAAGATGGGGGGAGCTACATGGACGACAACTATATCTGGTCAATCAGCAAAAAGCACTTCCAGAACATGCTCAGTGCACTCCATGATCGACTTCCACGGCGTGGCCTCTTTTTGCACCCGGAGAAGACGGATATCATCAGCACATCGGACATGCCCACGACGTTCCAGGTAGCCGGTGAAACAGTCTCCACGAAAGGGCCCGACCACGCCTTCTACGTCCTCGGGAGCCCTCTCTCCTTCCAAGGGGGAACAGCGATGTTGCTGGCAGAAGCGCAAACCAGAGCGAGAAAAGCCTTTTGGTCACATCGTGAGAGCTTCACCTCAGATGCCACCTTCCGTCAGAAATTGCAGATTCACGTTGTGCTGGTCCGGCAGAGCGCCCTCTGGGCTTGCCAAACTTGGCCTTGCCATAGCAGCTTACTGCGTGCAGTTAATGTTATTCAACTCTCCCAGATTCGAACGATGCTGGGACTGCGAAGGCAGCCCTGTGAGGAATGGGCAACGTGGAACAAAAGAAGCCTTCGGCGGAGCCGCCTGGCCCTCTAGCACCTCGGGGGAACGAGATGGTCTACTTTCGTCTTGTCACAGATTTGGACGGCCATCGGACACATATGTAGAGGCGATCCAATCGGGGGAAAGATCTTCCGATGGCACAGTCTACAATGGTGGCAAGAGCAAAAGGACCGGGGGATCGCAGTGCAACCAACACGCACAGCGATTCAACGCCTATATGGACATCGACCGCCAGTTGAGCGAGACCGTTGGGAAAGGATGGTTCACGCTCGCACAGGATAGAGCGGCTTGGGCAGCAAGCGAAGCAGCATTCATCGCAAGACACGACGTTCCTTGGAGCAGCGGGAAGCAGGGGAGCATCACGAACCTTGCACCTCCTCCTCCCGCGAGCACCGACCAAGCCTTTCTCCGGAGCATCACCGACAGCCGAACAGCGAGGAAGGCCCAGCGCAGAGAGAGAGCACCAAAGCCGAACCGAAGCAAGCAGCCCCGCAAGTAAGTTACAGGCCTTCGGGGGGCCCAAAGGCTTTCGTGAAAAGCTGAGTCAACATGAACCAGCATGTCACAAACCACATCCGCTGATTCGTGAATGAGCTGCAGTGCATGTGAGAACGATTTTGTCGGAGTGATGGTCTGTGCCATGTTGAAGTTTGAGATGACAGGGGGACCCGCTGCTCGCACTCTTGCTCAAACATGACTACAACATCAATTTGCATACATCTCCTCCTATATTTATGTCTTTGGTGGAAGCCGATCGCTGCTACAGCAACAGAGCACCTAGCAGTGAGAACACGGGGGACACAGCACAGCAATGAGTCTGCAGCGACCCAAGCCGCACCCCCCAACGCGCCATGGCAGGCACAACACTGGGCCCCGGACCAGCAACCAGCTCAAGTGGCATGGACACCCAGCCGCCCACCACACCACCAGCATCCCGCACAACACCTTCGGGCGTACGACTGGGACTTTGATCCCTGGAAGAACCCACAAGACGACCCACCAGAGAGCAGGTCGACCCCAGCGAGCACCCAAGCCGCGGCAGCGAGCCGTCCACCACCACAACAACGACAGCCCCAGACAGCGGGACAAGACCCACAGGAGGATCCTCCCACCAACGACCTCCTCCAGCACCGGTGAGCAAGACAGCGGAGCAGGAAGCTGTGGAAGCATCGTGCAGCAAGCCACCTCCACCACTGCTACACACACCCCACAACAAGAACCACCACCACGCAACCGGGGAACACAACCTCCCCCAGCATTCATCCCACCACGACCACCACGTGAATTCACGACACCTGGCGACACCACTGCCGACGACACTCCAGCTCAAGCAATGGCACAGGCAACACCAGGATCCCACCATGGGAACGACCGGGATGGGGGGAACCAATAGGAGGCGGCAAGCAAAGCCGCACGCATGGCGAAGAGGGGGAAGCACGCATTCAAACAGCGCCAGTTGGCCGGCGAGCAGGTGACCCGACCTCAGCCACAGCCACAACAAGGTGGGGCATACTCGCAGAGCAAGCACAGCGGGCAGCCTCCCAAAACCCCACCACACAACCACCACCGAGGACCAAAGCTGACACGGCTGCCGACGCCAAGTTCCAAGAGGCTATGGACAAATTCCTCGGACCCTTCATTGGACGACAAGGTCCAATCTGAGACGAGTGAAGCGGGGGAACGCGATAGTGCGAACGGTGTGCCCGAGCCCATGCGCGGAAGGTTGAACTCTAAAGCTTAGCTGTGAGCCTTTTCATGTATGCTTGTCTCTGCACGTTGCATGGGCTCGATGCATAACAGTGCTGTAAAGTGTGAGTGCAGAAGCATGCACAGGGGGGAGGGATAGAGGGTTGTGGTTGAGAATTTTGGTTTTCACTGTTCTAGAAAAGGGTCCCGCCCTCCTGTACCGACTTCGACTGATCCTGGAAGTGTGAGCAACGATCGGGGGATGTCATCTTCAGCTCATTTTGTCACTTTTCCTTGAAGTGTACCAAGACCGATCTGTTGCTACGAACTGTCATGCCTTTCTGTGGCGAAGGTGGATTTGTGGGGAGTCTCGTGAAGCAAAACTTACTTGGTAAATTGCTCTGTTGATAGGTTTTTCACTTTGTTGAACCGACTCCCCTATGGAAAATGTAGGCTCTCCAGATGTAGTAAACTTGTTGTTACGACTGTTTGTAGAAATCAGAAAGGGGAGCCGAAAAACCACAGCGAAGCGGGGGACATCTTTATGATGAGTTCGCACTAGTTGATGCTGTATAAGTCCTGATGAGCCTTTGGGGGGATGCAAAAGATGTCGCCGTGGAGAAACAACCAGTAGCACACGAGCAGTTGATCCAATATTATTTGGTGCCATACTTGGGTAGTCGTCCTTGACATTACAGCCCTTCTATGACATCGTCCTTACTTTGATTTCATTGCACGGGGGATCAACTGTTACCTGAATGCTACGAAATACTGCAACAACCGATTCTGTGTAAAGCTGATACCGGGGATCAGAAAATCCCGATGCTGCTCTTTATTTACGAGTTGACTTATTGTTGGTTGCCATATGCAGCGGGGGATTTCCGACAACGGTGCACGTGTCAATGGAGAGCGCACGACCATCCTTTCTAGATATCGCACATTATAAGGCTTTAGTCGGTTGATGGGATACGCTCGAATTTCACGCCCCTTCAACCCGAAAACACTTCGGGTGGGCAAGATGCCCGGGGGCCCTGACCGGTCCCTATGCCCGAGTGAGAGAGAGAGAGAGAGAGAGATTTTGGCTCAAGTGCTGCACCTTTGCTTGGGGGCTTGTGCCGCCCCCTTGCCTCGGGGGAGCCTCCAGGGGGGCCTTCCCAGTTGCCCCATCGGTGCTTGAGTCCCATATCTGACGCCACTGTGCTTAAGAGGCCCTGGGTAGCGCCAAGGTGGTTTGAGCCATATTCGTGACCGGCAAGTTCCTGATCCTACCTGCAGGCCAGCGACCTGAAAACTGCAAGGCCCCCACCTTGGACGCCTTAAAAGGGGAGAGAACGATCCTTTGCATCAACCGCGCTTTGGACGCGCCGGCCAAGCTTCACATACCCAACACCTGCACTGGACGGTGGAGATTGCCAACCGAAAGATCGTGACTTGGGCAACAAGAAGGGGAACAAAGTGCAGCACGAACTACGTGGTACAATGGAGCCTCGAAGCAAGAAGACATGCAGGATTTGCAGGCAGGGGGGCGGGATCTGCCAGCAGGGGTTTAGCAGTTTAGAAAAACCCATGAGCGCGAAGACCCAGTTTGCAGATTCCATGGAACCGGTGCTCGAGGCAATGTGGCAGTGACACGTGGGGAGGCTTCTCGACCTAAAGGCGGCTCCGGGGGACAGCAACCGTGAATGGACTGCTCGACCTAATCACGCAGGTGCTCTTCGCGCATATGACGAGGTTTGTGACAAAAGGGGGGATCGGGCTGCACTGTTTCCCAGGACCCTTGGACAAATGGATTAGCCGCGACGTCAGCATGCAGAAGGGGAAATCGACAGACACCCAGACAGGACGACCGCTCAGTACAGCCGAGAAGGGGGAATATGAGCAATACTTGGGGGTGTTCTCTACCATCATTTACTATGGGATTTGCGCTACCCACCCTGGGCCCTCAGTTACCGCTCCGTTACAGCTCCGTTACAGCTTCCGTTACAGCTCCCTTGCAGGTCCGTTACAGCTCCGCTACAGCTTCTGCTACAGCTCCGTTACAGCTCCGTTACAGCTTCCGTTACAGCTCCGTTGCAGGTCCGTTACAGCTCCGTAGCAGGTCCGTTACAGCCCCGCTACAGCTTCTGCTGCAGCCCCGTTACAGCTCCGTTACAGCTCCGTTACAGCTTCTGCTACAGCTCCGTTACAGCTCCGTTACAGCTTCCGTTACAGCTCCGTTGCAGGTCCGCTACAGCTCCGTTACAGCTTCTGCTACAGCTCCGCTACAGCTCCGTTACAGCTTCCGTTACAGCTCCGTTGCAGGTCCGTTACAGCTCCGTAGCAGGTCCGTTACAGCCCCGCTACAGCTTCTTCTACAGCCCCGTTACGGCTCCGTTACAGCTCCGTTGCAGGTCCGCTACAGCTCCGTTACAGCTTCTGCTACAGCTCCGCTACAGCTCCGTTACAGCTTCCGTTACAGCCCCGCTACAGCTTCTGCTACAGCCCCGTTACAACTCCGTTACAGCTTCCGTTACAGCTCCGTTACAGCTCTGTTACAGCTCCGTAGCAGGTCCGTTACAGCTCGGTTGCAGCTTCTGCAGCTCCGTTACAGCTTCCGTCACAGCTCCGTTACAGGTCCGTTACAGCTGAGCGACAAATCCGTTACAGCTCCACTACGTTCCGTTACAGTTTCTGTTGTAAGCCCCGTTGCCGGCACGGAGTCGCCAGGGTTTCTGTCATAGTAGAGGCCTACAAATGATGGTAGAGAACACCCCCAAAGCAATACCGGAAAGGACTTGCCGCAAGATGCCAGGTGGGGAGAAACGCAGACAAACTTGCCCGCATTATTGACCGCTACCTGCCAGACCTGGCCGACGAAACCCGCTGCTACATGATCCGCTTCCCGCACGAGGTCAAGAACCTGCTCAAAAAAGCCCGCCGCATCCAGAGGAAGATCAAGACCCGGACAGAGCGGGGAAGGACGACGAAAGCCCCCAGTGCGGGGACGGCTCGAAGAACAACAGCCAGGCAGCAGCGAGGGGGAAAAAGCAAAGACGAGCAGGAGGTGACACAAGCTCCCATTGCCGAGGGGGAAGCCACAGCCACGACACCAACCATAGGCGATGGCGAGGACGATGAGTTCGATGAGGCGGCATGGGGGAGTGCTGAGTCCGAGCAGACAGCACCAAGAGGAGAGGACACTGAAGCAGCCAGGAGTGAAAGCCTGGACGGGGGAGGCCGAAGCAGTGGCAGCCTGGCGGCGCAAAGACCCAGAACACCCAGCAGGAGCCCGACACGGCGGCCAACACAATTACGGCCCAACATGGGGGCGCAGAGACTAGAACACCGAGCAGGAGCCCGATACGGCGGCCAACGCAACTGCGGCCCAACATGAGATGGGAAGTACAACGTGTACAAGCACATATGAGAGCCAGCCGACAGCGACATGGTCAGATGTGAGAACGCACTAGGTGCGGGGGCGGACCGGGAGGGGGCGAACATGAAGTGCACCATTTATTGTCGATGTGGCCTGCTTCGTTAATCGCCCGCGCCCAGCTTCCCTCTTTTTTCTTTTTCCTGCTTGTGAAGCCAAGCATGCAAACACTGCAAACAAGGGAATTGTATACATCCTCATGCCGGGGGACCTGCATGTAACTGACCTTTTGTAAAGTACATTTCCCAAACACTGCCGCCGCAAACTCGGTGCAGTCAATACCAACCGCTACAAAATCAGTGCAGAAACATCGCCACACTGCGATGTTTACTCCCATCACTACCGCTATTTCAGTGCTTTCGTTACCAGTCAGATTCAACCCAGAAGAGGAACAATTCAACCGGCATCTTTTCGTGTAATGGGAATTCCACCCTGTACTAGTTGCTGCACCGTGTGATCTGTTCTGTGTTGCTTCTACTTGAAGAGGGGAGAGACCAGACCTGAGAAAACTAAACCCCATGACAACGTACTTCTTCCGTCCTGTTGACCTGCACCACCATGTACTGGACTCAGGTGTTGCCTGAATCTTGTTGCAGGGGGAAACGATCAGTCCATTGGTACTACTGGGGGAATACGTCTGTCGAGGGGCTTAGGACTTGCCATAGAGGGCGCGGGGACGAGGCCGGAACGCGCGCTAAAGTTCAGGATTGTGGGTTCTTCCGACAAACGCACTCTACCAGCTTCATCTACCAAGGGACGCAAACCCGTCCACTGAAGACCCCAAACAAAGCCTCTTCCACCGTTATAGGGCGAAGGGGGGGCCTGGGCCCGGGTCTGCTCGCGCAGACTCATCCCCTGAGAAGTGAAGTGAAGTGAAGAGAGAGAGAGAGAGAGAGAGAGAGAGAGAGAGAGAGAGCGAGAGAGAGAGAGCCCACGGAGCGGGAGGCAGGGACTGCCTGTCTCCCACGCCCCTGAGCAAAGCAAAGCAAAGAGAGAAGTTGCCACACAGACACCAAGACCGGTGCGCACACGTGCGCAGGGGCATTCGTGCCTCCTGTCCGAGTGCAAGCAAGAAGTTGCCTCATCATGGCCGCGGAGTTGTTTGTCGCACGTACTAGCGTGCTTGCCAGTGCTTGCCGTCAACAGACGGGAAGCCCACGCGGGGGCACGCCTTCAAGCCTGGTGCAAGAAAGGAAAGCAACTCCCC